CCCCTGACACACCCGAACCAATGCCAGAAGAGTCAGAAGAAGAGGAGACCTACGAATTCATGGGAGAACCAGCAGAATTACCTGAACCTACCGAGGAGCCGGAGCCGCCGGCACAAGGACCCCAAGAAATTGAAGTCATTGGTGCTGAATACAGTTACTACAGGATCCCCATGTCGGGACTCCCCGCTCGGGACTGGCCCGATCGATGCCTGCTTGTCGCCGGAGACCAAGCCGAAGCTGGCGATACCGACGACATCATCGGTATTCCCCGCGCGCTTCTGGAGAGAAAGGCAATTTGCGCACTCGCCGCTGACACGGACAACGCCGCTGACGTAGGACCTGAAGGGGAGGCAAACGACGAAGCAGCACGGCAAAAATATTATCAGAAGACAGTCGGCTACCGTGCGGACCCAGCAACATGGCACCAACGGCTTGGACATCCCTCTCACGCCACGCTCAAAAACTCGCTCAAGGCTGGAGTCTTCGATGACGACGCGCTTCTCCTCCCCCGAGACGGTTCCCTCACCGCGGACTCTCCCAATCCGCCGTGCATCGTCTGCCCGACTGCGTCACTCAATCACAAGCCGTTCCCCGACCTACCTCCAGGATACGAACGCTACAAGCCACTGGACAAGGTCTACAGCGACTTCATGGTGCTCAGCCAAGAAGGGCTCGACGGAGAGTACTACACGCTCACCTTCATCGACGCTTATACGCGCTACGTTTGGGCCGTCAATACCGACTGCAGGTCACTGGCCTTTGAGTGCTTTATTGCGTGGATGAAGCGGGCTGAGCGACAGTCTGGGCTAAAACTCAAGGCCTGGCAGACGGATGGAGCCCTTGAGTTCTTCTCGGACGAGTTCAAGGAACTCTTCAAGCAGAAGGGAATCGAGCACCTTGTGTCCCTGCCCTACGCTCACCAACAGCAAGGCGTAGCAGAACGGACAAACAGGAGCCTCGCCACGCGGATGAGGGCTCTGATGAAGCAGTCGGCCATCCCAACCAGATATTGGCCATTTGCGATGAATCACGCTGTTCGGCTGCACAACTTGCTGTCTTCGCGAAGCCTCAAGGACAACAACTCTCCTTACCGGGCTTGGACGGGCAGAAAAGCAGATACACGCCTGCTTCGGGTGTTCGGGTGCATGGTACAGTACAGACCCCACACTGCGCGGACGGGAAAATTTGCTGACCGGGCAAGATGGGGCATCCACCTTGGAATCGACAAGGAGTTCAAGGCGTGGATCGTGCTGGACTACGCGACACACGAGGTGACGAAATCACGTGACTGCATCTTCTACGAGAAGCTGACTCTGCCCCTTTTCAAGGAGCACCAGGAAGCTGACAAACTGCACGAAAGGCTCTTCGAGGGCCACCGCAGCTTCGCCACGTCACACGACGAAGCTGACCTGGCCGAGGATGCAGACGCACCTGATGTCACCCAGATGGACTCTGCTCCGAACATCCCCCTTACGAGCCAATTCGGAACTCCGACATTCGTGCCCGTACACCAACCCGATCCGGATGATATAACACGCGAAGCTCACAACTACAACAGCGAAGCACGCCGATCGCCTGATGCCGAGTTACCACAACCCGACACGTCGCAGGACACCCTCCGCCTCGGCAACGACAGCGATGACGACGTGGTCGAGGTTACCAGCTTCCACGACTACGACCGTCTTCACTACGAAACAACCGACGAAACCGGTCTTCGGGTTCTCGGCCTCGCTGTCTCAGTTCGCCACACCTCGCCCAAGGAACCCACCACCGTCCGCCAAGCCCTGTCTGGCCCCGACAGTGACAAATGGAGAGCAGCCATGGCCGCCGAAATCGCGTCGCTGAAGAAGCGCGTTACCTGGAAGCTAGTTCCACGGTCATCGGCAAAGGGGAGAAAAATTCTCAGCGGCAAATGGGTTTTTCGCATCAAAACTCTCGCCGATGGCTCGATCGACAAGTACAAGGCGCGCTGGGTGGTGCGGGGATTCGAGCAAACTCACCTGGTGGACTTCACCCTCACCTACGCTCCAGTCGGCCGTCACACTTCGGTGCGCATTCTCATCTGCATCGCCGCCGTCAAACAGCGACCGCTCCGGCAAATCGACGTCGGAAGCGCCTTCCTGTACGCTCCCGTTGATGCCATCATCTTCGTCGAACAGCCCCACGCATTCGAAGAAAGCGACGGCGCCGTGTGCCTCCTCCAAAAGTCTCTCTACGGAATCAAGCAAGCTCCTCGTCTGTGGCAGCAGTACCTGCATTCCGTCCTCCTTGAGCTCGGCTTCACTCAACTGCCGCACGATCTCGGAATGTACAGGCGGGAGTCGCGCGGAAAGTTCATCCTCCTCGTCGCCTACGTCGACGATCTTCTCTACACCGGGGACGACACGGAGCTACTCGACCAATTCTAGGCTGACATCAAGGAGAAGCTGGAAGTGACCGTCAATCATAACGTCACTCAGTTCCTCGGCCTCAACGTCACTCAGTCCGCCTCCTCCATTCACCTCTCCGCCGCCAAATACGCCGAGACACTAGCGAAGCGGTTCGCCATAGCCCCCATCAACCTCACCACCCCTTACCGCACTCCTCCTCCTAACCATGAGCCCGACACCACGCCACTCTCTCCTGACGACCATCGTCTCTATCAGCAGCAGCTCGGCTGCCTCCTATTCGCTGCCATCACGTGCCGGCCCGATCTCTCCTACGTCGCTAGCCAGCTCGCACAGTACCTGAAGCGACCTGAAGGGGAGAATCTACTAGATCTACGCCGAGCACTACAGTACTTCATCTCCACTCCCGACGTCGGCCTCACCTACGAAGCCAACCTCACCGCTACTCTGCAGCTTCATGGCTACGTGGATGCCGATCATGCTGGAGATGTTGATAACAGACGCTCCCGCACAGGATTCATTTTCCAACTCCAACCTGCTGGACTCATCTCTTGGAACTCCCAGAAGCAGGAACTCATCGCTCTTTCGTCAGCTGAAGCAGAATTCATCGCAGCTAGCGCAGCTGTTCGCGAAGGTCTGTACCTAATGGAGTTCCTGCAGGAGGCAAAAGTGACGATGAACGGGCATTTTACGTTACTCTGCGACAATCAGAGCGCGATAAAGATCGCGAACAAGCCCGGCTTCGTCAACCGCACCAAGCACATCGGCCTTCGCTACTTCTTCGTGAAGGACGAAATCGACAAGGGGAGAGTCAAGCTGACGTACTGCCCGACCGGTGACATGGCAGCCGACTTCCTGACGAAGAAACTGCCACGTCAGCAGTACCAGCACTGCGCCAACCTCTGTGGGATCACCAAGAAATCCCACGTGGCCCACCTTCTGGAATGAAGGGGAGTGTTGGAATAACCGAAAGGTTATAAAGGCATTCCCGAAGTTGCTCCACTGTACTAGTACCGCATTAGCTCATATAGAGCACGCGGAATCTCGAGGGTCACCCGAAGGTCAACCGTCTGAGATAATCAACGGTCGTGACCCTTGACGATCCAGTAACCGCGCGACAGTTAACAGTCTGCAACACGGTAACTGTCGAGAATAGCAATAGTCGTGGTTACTGTAGCTATGTAATACAGTTAATAAGGGAATGTACCCCTCAGAGTACATGACTAGATAGTTTGCTATTTAATTTCTTGTACTCCTACTTTCTAATCATCTTGTTCTCTTTCAACTATTATTCAACAAGGTCACTACAGAGACTTCACTGTCTCCTTTCAGGCTTAACACATCCTATCCTATCCACTGATCCTTTGGTTGTATCAGCACTTTCCATAAGCTGCTAGTGTTCTGAACTCCTTTATGATCCCTTTTAGAAACGCCCCATTTACGCTCTGACGCACAAGACAAAACTAAAAATCAGATTAGTTCATGATTCCACATGCACTCTACAACTTCACTTCCGAGCTACAACTGCTTCCATGGCCTACCATACCTGCAGGCACAAAAGCAGCGTCAGAGCATGGTGCGGACAAGTGGGAAAAGTACTGGTACCACTCACTAAAAAGAATTATCACCCACTAAGGACCCCCTCCCTCTCCCACTCCCCCACCTCCCCTCCCCTGGCTGTTGGTTCCATGTCAGTCATCCCCCTTTGAACCTTTCCACCATCCTACAAGGCCCAGCTCCCACGTCCCCCTCGATGCTATGCTGTGCTGCTTCCCCCCTGATTCACCTTTTGAGGCGCCTCAAAAGCCTTCCCATCCTACAAGGCCCGGCTCCCACACCCCGTTCGATGCCATCTTGTGCTGCTTCCCCCCTGATTCACAAGGGTGCCATGCCCTGCCATCATGCTGCTACACCGGGCCATATGGCTGGGGGTTTTGACACGATGTATAAATGGTTCTGCCGTGCTGTACGTGTGCTTTTGACAGACCCAATGCTGATTGGTTCATGCCATGTGACTGCTGTGCCATGCCACACTGCGGGCTGTGCCATGCCTTGTCACCTCCGCATAGGTGCGCTGACGTTAACCTCCCCTAAGCCTCTCCACGAGGCTGCCACAGCTAATTCCTACAACTACACTCCTACCCCTGCCACCCTTTTCCCTGCCCCTGGCGATGCCAGCCCACCCCTCCCTTGCCTTACTCCCCCTCCTGCTTCTTCCCCTCCTATCCTTCGTGCCACACCTGCTCCTCCCCCTGCAGCAGTGATCTCCCTCAATCATTTCACAACGAGGCTCATGTCAGGTCGCTTGCTCGGCTCCTCCTGACTGCATTGCACCGCCACCAGCAGCAGCTTCTTTGCTACAGTTGCTAAAAACCGCCTGCTTCCTACATTTGAACTCCTACTCCTGCCACTGCCACCCCTCCCCCTGCCACCCCTTGCGCTCCTGCTCCTTCTGCTCCTCCTGCTCCTCGTGCTCCTCCCCCACCAGCAACGATCTCCCTCAGTCTCTGCACAACACGGTTCATATCAGGGCGTTTGCTCGGCTCCTCTTGACTACACTGCAGCGCCACCAGCAGCAGCCATGGCCAGCCAAAAACTGCCCCTTTCCTAAATCTAAACTCCGATCCCTGCCACTACCGCCCCTCCCCCTGCCATCCCTTGCACTCCTGCTCCTCCTCCTTCCACCCTTTGCGCCCCTCCTTTCCCCACCCCAGAAGCCGCGATCTCTCTTAATCTCTCCGCCACACGGTTCATATCAGGCCGTTTGCTCGGCTCCTCTTGACTACATTGCAGCGCCACCAGCAACAATTTCTTCGCTGCACTTGCTGAGAATTGCCCCTTCAGCCTTGGATCCACCACCTGACTTATATGAAACCCATCCGCCTTCTTCCCCTCCCCCTGCTGCTGCTGCTCTTCATCACCTGCTCCTGCTGCTCCTGCTGCTGCTGCTGCTGCTGCTGCTGAGTCGCCTCCTCCTCCGCCCCCTTTTTTACCCCGCGCCAGCTGTTTGTGAATCCAGGGGAAGAGCCGGTTGTGTGTGGCAGTGGTGGCGGGGGATCGGCCGGTGAGCAGCTCGAGGAGAACAACGCCCAGGGAGAAGACATCGCTTAGTGGGGTGAGGTGACCTGAGAGGGGAGGAGCGGGGGGTGGGGGGGTGGAGTGGGGGGGTGGCGTACAAGGGGTGAGCAGCTCGAGCAGAACCACACCCAGAGAGAAGACATCGCTCAGCGGGGTGAGGTGACCTGAGAGTTGGGAGGAGGGGGATGGGGGGTGATGCACAAGGGGCGAGAAGCTCGAGTAGGAGAACGCCCAGGGATTGCTTGGAGGGGTGAGCTGACCTGAGAGTGGGGAGGGAGGAGGGATGAATTTATTTTTGATTTGCCTCAAGAGTCAGCTCGACCGGTGAGCAGCTCGAGGAGGACAATGCCCAGGAGAAGGCATCGCTTAGAGACGTGAGGTAACCTGTGGTGGAAAGGAAGTGCGGGAGAAGGGGGAGGTTGCGTGCAGTGGTGATACCCGAACAACAAGGACCACATACTCGTTACAAGCCTCCCCACCTGTGTAGATATAGTCAGCGTGGAGGTACCCCAGGGTGCCCATGATGCGAGTTGACACGTGCGTCTTGCCGCTCATTACCCCCCAATCCATGTCAATCCATCTCCACCGCACTGTACCGCACGGAATCTATCCCCACCTGTGTAGATATAGTCAGGGTGGAGGTACCCCAGGGTGCCCATCATTTGAGTTGACACGTGCATCTTGCCCATCTTGCCCTCCTCCCCTCCTCCCCTCCATACCCTACAGGTGAGAACCATATCCTCGTTACAAGCATCCCCACCTGTGTCGATATAGTCAGGATCGAGGTAACCCAGGGTGCCCATGATGCGAGTTGATACGTGCGTCTTCCCCTCCTCCGGTCCCCGCGTCGCCATGCCAAAATCCGTCACCTTTGCTCTCAGCTCCTGCCAAAGTAGACACATGAAGGACGGGACGGGAGCAGGGTAGGGGGGATAAGAAGGGGGAATTTTGAGCGACTTACACTGTCCAGCATGACATAATGGGACTTCAAATCCCGGTGAATGGTGTTCCGCCTGTGCAGATGTGCCAAGCCAAGCCCATACAAGTGCGCTTTTTCCCAACAGATCCCACCTCAGACCCCCCCTGACCCCCCCTCAGACCCCCCCTCCCACTTACACTGTCCAGCATCACGTTGTGTGACTTGAAGTCGCGGTGAATAGCGTTCTGCCCGTGCAGATATGCCAGGCCCTCAGTCAGCCATGCCCACTGCCTGCTACCTGCACGCGCTGCTACCCAGCACCACCCCCTCCCCTTCAGCTTACCCTGTTCAGCATGACGTTGTGTGACTTGAAGTCGCGGTGAATGATGTTCTGCCCGTGCAGATACGCCAGGCCCTCCGCCATGCCCACTGCCACCTGCACGCGCTGCTCCCATGTCAGGCACGGGCTGTCTGGGGAGAGGTCTGGAGAGATGGGTTGTGGTGGGAGGATCAACAAGGGGGGCGGAGAGGAATTCGTGAAGAGAGGCAATCAGGAATAAGGAGGCAGATACGCCAAGGCACGCCCTCGCCCATGCCCAGTGCCACGCCACCTGCACGCGCTGCTGCTCCCATGTCAGGCACGGGCTGTCTTGGAAGAGGCCTGGGGGGACGGTTGGTGTGGGAGTGGATTGACAAGGGAAGGAGGAAGGGGGTGGAAAAAAGGGCGGGAGAGAAAGGAGGTAGTCAGAAATTTCTTGGAAGCACACATGTCAAGGCAGGGCCTCGCGCATACCCACTCCAACATGCACGCGCTGCTCTCATGTCAGGCATGGGCTGTTCGGAGACCTTCTAAAAAGGAACAGTGGCGCCATCAATCAACATCAAGCGTGTCAGTGGTCTAGTGGTCTACATCGACCCGAGTCCAAGCGTCGCTCCCTATCCGCTTGGGTGGCTTCGGCATTCACAGCTCTGCATCCATCACCCCCCCCAATTACCTTTGCAGCTGGGCTCAGACAGTTTCGACCTTATCGGTGATGAAGTGGGTGAACAAGGTCGAAACTGATTGCGCCGAACTGCAGAGGTAACTGAGGGGGGCGATGGATGCTGAGCAGCAAATGCCGAAGCCACCCAAGCGGATAGAGAGCGAGGCTTAGAGGACCACCAGCGGGTAGGGAGCTGTTTGAGACTAACTTCTACAAACGGATTTCCCTGGCCCAGTAGCATGAGCAGGCTCGCACTGTTTGTCGACGTGCACAACCACGCACCACCCGAGGTGACTTCTCTCTCAGCAGCTGACTTTTCTAACTTTGGGATAGGACCATTGAGGCATTAGAGAGGCCTATTTGTGGGCCTCACTACAAGACTAACTTGCAGGAAGAAAACCATTGAGACATTAGAGAGGCCTATTTGTGGGCCTTTTTGGATTTGCCTTGTATCCATTGTACATTTACTATACTGGAATAGCACCCTGCCATGTGCCCGGTGCAGAGCTGTGTTCGATTCCCGGCTGGCACAGAAGTTGATTGATTTTTTTTTTTTTTTTTTGCTCGTTACATTTACCACCCTCGTGTTTCCGCTGTCTGGCCACTATCTATAGCACGAATACATCTTACCCCAAAACAGAACCACTTGTTTAGCAAGGAATGCATTAGCTCTACATCAAATGCGCCATTCACTAATCGTGACCGTTCATCCCAGCACCATGCAGCCCAATCCTATCCCAAGAAAGGAGGCCATAAACTCCGCATGGACTAGCCTATAAACGCTGACGGTCGGCCCGACTCCATGCCGCCCGGCACCATGCCGCCCGGCACGGCACCATGTTGCCCACCACCATGTTGCCCAGCACCATGTTGCCCAGCACCATGTTGCCCACCACCATGCTGCCCACCACCATGTTGCCCACCACCATGCTGCCCATTACCATGTTGCCCAGCACCATGTTGCCCACCACCATGCTGCCCAGCACCATGTTGCCCACCACCATGTTGCCCACCACCATGCTGCCCAGCACCATGTTGCCCAGCACCATGTTGCCCAGCACCATGTTGCCCACCACCATGTTGCCCACCACCATGCTGCCCAGCACCATGTTGCCCAGCACCATGTTGCCCACCAGCACCATGTTGCCCAGCACCATGTTGCCCACCACCATGTTGCCCACCACCATGCTGCCCAGCACCATGTTGCCCAGCACCATGTTGCCCAGCACCATGTTGCCCACCACCATGTTGCCCACCACCATGCTGCCCAGCACCATGTTGCCCAGCACCATGTTGCCCACCACCATGCTGCCCAGCACCATGTTGCCCAGCACCATGTTGCCCACCACCATGTTGCCCACCACCATGCTGCCCAGCACCATGTTGCCCAGCACCATGTTGCCCAGCACCATGTTGCCCACCACCATGCTGCCCAGCACCATGCAACCCAATTGTTTCTCAATTAGGAGGGATCATCTCGGCATGACCGGCCTGTCAGCACTGCCATGCCACATACACCCGTCTCCGACCCTTGGCATACAGCCTGACACCGTGCAGCCTGGCAGGCACTATGCAGCCTGGCACTATGCGGCCTGGCGCAATGTCCCCAGCATGGTACCAGACCATGCGGCGTGGCACCAAGCCCAATATCAGCTACACCCCACCTGAGTTGACAACCTTCCACCAGCCCCTAGTCGACGACTGTGCCGACGTGTAATAATCCGTGAGTCCTCCCTCTGGGTCTCATCCTTATGTGACAGCTTAGAGTTCGTTCCTTCCTTACGTTAGCTTCCTTGAGTACTCTCTCAGATGCAACGCAAAGGTCTTACAAGAGCCAGAGCACCACCAGCACATACCACCAGCTAAAGCCAGAGCACCACCAGCACATACCACCAGCTAAAGCCAGAGTACCACCAGCACATACCACCAGCTAAAGCCAGAGCACCACCAGCACATACCACCAGCTAAAGCCAGAGCACCACCAGCACATACCACCAGCTAAAGCCAGAGCACCACCAGCACATACCACCAGCTAAAGCCAGAGCACCACCAGCACATACCACCAGCTAAAGCCAGAGCACCACCAGCACATACCACCAGCTAAAGCCAGAGCACCACCAGCACCTGAAGACCCAATCTATGACTAACTAAAGCATACGCTGACCCCCTCACGCATCCAAAAGCGTGCCAGTGATGCCACAGATTCTCTTCCCCAGCTGTTTGAGACCAACTTCTACAAGCGGATTTCTCTAGTCCATCAGCGTGAGCAGGCTCGCACTGTTTGTCGGTGTGCGCAAATTCGTTTTACCGAGGGCGTCAGCCAAGTACCACCCGAGGAGACTTCTCTATCGGCGGCTGACTTTGCTTACTTGGGAGGGGACCATTGAGATATCACGGAGGCCTATCTGTAGGCCTCACTATAGGTCTAATTTGCATGTATTTCTTATACTAGGTCTCTGGCTTTGCCTTGTATCCATTGTACATCTACTAGACACTTAATAACGAGGTAGAATAGCACCCTGCCATGTGCCCGGTGCAGACCTGGGTTCGATTTTCGGCTGGCACAGGAGCTGTTTTGGTGTTTTTTCTTTTTGTGGTGATGCTTGTTACATTCACCTCACTCGTGTTTTTTGCTGTCTCGCCACTATCCATGGAACAAGCATATCATAACCAAAAACATGTCACACTGCTCCGAGCAGAACAGAACTAGTCGATATATTCATGTCCCTCCATGCCCTGATGACACCTTCCGCATACATCTCTCTCCACTGCTCTCCATCACTCTCCATCCCCGCTGACCCACAACAACCGACACTCATATCATCAGTAAGCAGCCTGTGGGGCAAAACTCCCTGTCCAACTTACTCATCAATGATAAACATACAGGCTTGAAAAAACATAAAACGCCAGCTCGGGCAGCTCCTTGATTTTCTACCCACAAAAAGACGCCCCCTCCCCCATCTTGGTGCCATCCAAATTTCAGCCAGCTCATTTTATATAAGCTTAAAACATACCAGCTCTCACACACACACACACAGGAAAAAAAAACGACTGAACTGGACCACTTCTTTCACAATGAAAGCATCCGCTTGGCATGAACAGGGCGCATTCACCATTCAACAATCCTTGACCATTCATCCCAGCACCACTCATCACAGCACCACGCAGACCAATCTTTCCCAAGCACGGAAAGCATTAACTCCACATGGACTGGCCTATAAAACGCTGACGAGCAGCCCTGCACCATGCCGCCCAGCACCATGCCGCCCAGCACCATGCCGCCCAGCACCATGCCGCCCAGCACCATGCATCCCAGCACCATGCGCAGCCCAATTGTTTCCCACTGAGGCGGCATCATCTCGGCGGCCTGTCAGCACTGCCATGCCACATACACCCGTCTCCGACCCTTGACCATGCGGCCTGGCACCATACAGCCTGGCACCATGCAGCCTGGCACCATACAATACAGCCTGGCACCATGCAGCCTGGCAGCATGTGACAGCTTAGAGTTCGTTCCTTACATTCGCTTCCTTGAGTACACTCTCAGATGCGACGCACGATTTTACAGGATTTTCAAAGGGCCGGCGCACCACCAGCACATGAGCTTGAAACCTGCCTAATCCATGATTACCAAATGCCGACACTGATCACCTCATGCATCTAAGAGCGTGCCAGTGGTCTAGTGGTAGAATAGCACCCTGCCATGAGCCCGGTGCAGACCCGGGTTCGATTCCCGGCTGGCACACGAGTTTTTGTTTTGTTTCGTTTTGATTGTTTTTTTTTTTTTTTTTTGTTTTTCCTGGGTACAGACATGTGTAAAGGCCATAACTCAAAACCAGCTACACCTTCTTCCATACCCCTTTCCATCTTCATCACGCGTTTCAATTTCCTTCTCATCTCCTTACCTAACGGTGATTGTCTCCTCTCTCCACCAGCCCAATTACCAAAGCTGTCTCAAGCCAACCTACATTCCCCCACCCTTATCATCCTCTCCGTCCCACTCACATGAGTGAAACTCACCGCTGGGATGCAGGCGGTTGTGCAAGTCACCCGTTCTCCACCAGCTCATACACCACCCTCTGAGCTGTCCTAAGCCAACCTACTTCCCTCCCACAACCACAACCCTATCCGTCCTCTTATTAACCATTCAGGTGCAGGCAATGGTTCGGGTCGCCCCATCTCCACCAGCTCATACACCATACCGGTCTAACTCCCCACCATCCTCCCCTTCCCTTCGCAACACCACAGACTCACCATTGGGGCGTGGGCAGTGGTGCTCATTGCTGGGGAGCAGCCAGGGGCGCAGGTTGCCTCGCTCCACCAGCCCATACACCACGCGTGTTCTGCGCACGCCCATATTCCAAACACCCTCTTACATCCCCTTGTACTCACAAGGCTAGAGAATGTACCGTTGGGGTGCAGCCAGTGGTGCAGGTCCCCTCTCCCCATCAGCTCGTACACCAGAATCGCCTGGCTGTCCCACAGCAGCCCTCCCTCCCTTATACCCTTACCCACAAATCAAGAACAACAGCGGATCACCATAACCATACCATTGGGGTGCAGCCAGTGGTGCAGGTCCCCTGTCCCCACCAGCTCGTACACCACGCGTGTTCTGCCTGCGCACGCCCATATTCCAAACACCCTCATACATCCCCTTGTACTCACAGGAGTGAAAACTCACCGTTGGGGTGCAACCAGTGGTGCAGGTCGCCTCGCTCCACCAGCTCATACACCAGAATGGCCCGGCTGTCCTCCATGCAGTACCCCAGCAGCCCTCCCTCCCAGCAGCCCTCCTTCCCTCCCCGTCCCTTTACTCAAAAATCAACAACAGCGGATCACCATAACCGCACTATTAGGGTGCAGCCAGGGCACCACAGACTCACCGTTGGGGTGCAGCCAGTGGTGCAGGTCCCCCCTCTCCACCAGCTCGTACACCAGAATGGCCCGGCTGTCCTCCATGCAGTACCCCAGCAGCCGCACCAGGTTGGGGTGGCTCAGATCGCCCAGCACTAGGATCTCCGCCTGTGATATCGCAGATGCGGGATGGGGAGAGAGATGTGGGGAGAGATGGGGGGAGAGATGGGGGGAGAGATGTGGGGAGAGATGGGGGGAGAGATGGGGGGTAAGGATGTGTGGGAGAGGGAGGAGCACAGCCCGGCTGTCCTCCATGCAGTACCCCAGCAGCCGCACCAGGTTGGGGTGGTTCAAATCGCCCAACACTAGGATCTCCGCCTGTAAGAGGTAGATGCGGGATGGTGGAGAGGGCAAGGGGTGGGGTTCAGTAGGAAGCCGGCACACCAGGTTGGGGTGATTTGAATCGCCCAGCACTAGGATCTCCGCCTGCGGGGTGAAACGCCTTGACGCTGTCCGAGTGTGTGACGCACCTCCATTCCCCCAAGCCCATCCTCTCCCCCTCTTTTGCCCCCTCCCCTCTGTTCCCCCCCCCCCCCACCCCCCCCATCCTCTTCCCCCACTCTTCACCATTCCTTTTCCCTTCTGCCCTGCAAAACAGATAAAATACAGACTCTCGCTCGCTTTCCTCATTCCTCGCTACTCACTCCCTTCCACTTCCCTTCCTTCCTCACCCCTTTTTGAGCGGCCTCACCAGGCAGTCATCAAACGCCTTCACGCTGTACAAGTGTGTGAAGCACCCTCACCACCACCTCTCTCCCATCTGCTCAAGACCATCCTCTTCTCTTCCCCCCCTTCTCCACCCCCCTTCCCTCGCCCCTCACCAGGCAGTCATCAAACGCCTTCACGCTGTCCGTATGAAGCACCTTCACTGCCACCTCTCTCTTGCTGCCACGTGGCAGCTCTCCCAGCCACTCGTCCACCTGCCCGCGAAAAACGGTCCCGAAGCTGCCCTTGCCCAGCTGCAGGGACGCATTAAAGTACCCCGCTGCCTGCTGCAGCTCGCGATAGGAGAAGCGCCGTAAGGGAGGGGGGCCGGAGGAAGGCTGGCCGTGTGCTGAGGGGTGACACAGAAGGGGGAGAAGCAGGGTTGGGTTGTGTGTGGGAAATGGTGAGAGGGCCCCGTTGCAGGACGCGTTGAAGTACCCCGCTGCCTGCTGTGGCTCGCGATAGGAGAAGCGGCGCAGAGGAGGAGGGCCAGAGGAAGGCACTTGCCCCGCTGCAGGGATAGAGGGTTACAGGGGTAGGGTGTGAAGGGAGGGAGAGAAGAATGAGCGGGAAAGTAATGCCCTGCCCTTGCCCATCTGCAGGGACGCGTTGAAATACCCCGCTGCCTGCTGTAGCTCGCGGTAGGAGAAGCGCCATAAGGGAGGAGGGCCGGAGGAAGGCCCTTGCACAGCTGCAAGTGGGAGGGAGAATAAAAAAGGGAGTAAGAGAGAGAAGAGGGAGAAGAGAGGGAGAGAGTAAGGCTCATGCCTAGCCCAGCTGCAGGTGGGAGGGAGAAGAGAGGGGAGAGAGAGGGAGAAGAGAGGGAGAGAGTAAGGCTCTTGCCTAGCCCAGCTGCAGGTGGGAGGGAGAAGAGAGGGGAAGAGAGGGGAGAGAGAGGGAGAAGAGAGCGGGAGAGAGGGGATAGTAAGGCCCTCTCCTTGCCCAGCTGCAGGGACGTGTTGAAATAACCCGCTGCATGCTGCAGCTCGCAACAGGAGAAGCGGCGCAGAGGAGGGGGGCTGGAGGAACGATTGCCGTGCCTGTAACGGGTGAAACGGAACAAGATTCAACTACAGGATGTGCCGGAATTCACGGATTCGGAAAGTGTTGAGCACCAGCAGGTATGCACCCTGTTCTCACGGAGACAGAATCAGAACTGTGATGTTCCTACTACTACCCGGAAAAGGCTTGTCGCCGAACGGACGGGAAACGAAGCTGTAACTGCATCAGAAACGCTTTTTTTTTTTTTTTTTTTTTTGCGCCTCGTTGACGAGGTGAAAGCGGAAACAATCGATTTCGCTACGCATGCACGAAAACGAAGTGCGTTCGCAGGGCTCGCATCATCACCAATGTCGTGATAAGGATCTTGCTACCCACGCGAGACGAGCCGTGTTCTATGGCTAAGATTGGGCAGCTAACCGACCTGATCCGTTCCCGCGCAAAGCCGAGCGCTTCGAGGGCGTCGAGGGAGTCCTAGGTTGGGCGAGCGCTTCGACTGGGCGAGCGCTTCGACTGGGCGAGAGCTTCGACTGGGCGAGCGCTTCGACTGGGCGAGCGCTTCGACTGGGCGAGAGCTTCAACTGGGCGTATGAAAGGCGGACTGACCTGAACCATTCCCGCGAAACGCCGAGCGCTTGGAGGGAGTCCCAGGAGTTTTGGGACTGGGCGAGCCGAAGCACGCGCAGCACGCGACGGCGTCGTCGTCGTCCATATGCCGCGCGACGGGAACGACGACGACGACGACCGGAACGACGGCTCGCGAAACGGTAAAAGGACGTTGGTTATCTTGTCGAATTCGCTGAATCGACGAACATTTCGTGGCTTGGCTCGGTGAGTTCTGCGTCTGTCTGCTGGAGGAACTGGGAACGCAAAATAGTAGTTGAGCTGGAAAATGATTATGCGTGGCTTTTACGAAGTCAAGGTAATCTGTAGCATAATTAGAGTAACGAATTTGAACACAAAACACTCTCGTCTAAAATCGACCCTAAGCTGTTACAGACTGACAAGCCTGCCAGAGGGAAATTCTTAGGATAGCAGAAGGTACTCATACTTGAGTTGGACATGTTTGCTGTAACACGCTTTCAGGACTTTCTTACGGCAGCCTCAAGAGACGCATGGGGAAAGCGAATTGAGTCGAGCCCTGCTGCGACGCTACATTGGCGTGGCGCACTGGCGCCCCGTTTTCCTCCTCCAACGGCTACCCTGTGCGACGGAACTCGAGGCCATGATTGGGCATCCGTAGCGATTGCGTGCACCTGTACACACACGTGTTTTTCTCGCCACAGCGTCGTATTGAGCGTTACATTTGACTTGACGAAAGCTTCGGGTTTCCTGCGGGTGTTGGCCAGGTTGGCCGGTGCCAGTCCAAACAAACTCAGCAAGCCACATTGACGAAACGACTGTCCAGGAAAAGTTACACCCATTCAAATAACAAAAGGCACACACAATGTATAAACTAGCTGCTGTGGACTTATTACTGATCTTGCTCATGCTATGCTGGTACTTTACAAGTACAGGAGCCTGCGCTGCTTTGTACATTTATAGAATTAAATCCTGTACATGATACATCAGCAAACAACCTAAACTTCAACATTCATGAAAACATGGATTCCGGAAGCAGCCCTGACAAGACAAACACGCCAATCACGCCAAACCCCTCGGGAGCTCCATTGCCCCCACCAGGAACCACTGTTACTGAAACTTCCACCTTCCCTCTCGGCACTATCCCCGGCAACACGTGCCCTCCCACAACCCTTGTAGGCGATCTCCACACCTCCGCATTCAACAGAATCGGCCCAATCGCCCCGCCTTCTTCTCCACCTTCCCCACCTTTTCCACCCCCACCCTCCCATGCTACACGCACGAGCCCAGGCCCGAGGTCCTGAGCCTTCAGGAACAGAAACGCCAGCCTCCCTCCGGCTCGCAGATTCACATTTATAGCAAATGTTACTGTAGCGTTCGGGACGTGCGACATGAAAGCTTCTTTGTCGCGCGATAACGGGTACAACACCCACCCGGGCTGGCGGGATTTCAACGAGACCTGCCCGCTGATGGCAAGAAGCTTGGGGCAGCGGTGTCTCTTCCGGTAGTCACCCCAGTTCGTGGTGAAGCACTGCCCTCTCTCCGGCTTCATGTGCGTCCACGCCTGCTCTTGCTGTTGCTGATTGGTTTGACTCTGCTCCCTCTGCTGCTCTCTCTGCTGCTCCTCTTCTAGGTACAGCTGGATGTCTTGAGGGGTGAGAGCCAGCAGAGAGGACACCAGATGCCGTACCACCACCGCCGCTGCCAGCTCGTGCCCAAACTCCACCATGTGCACCCGGTCGGCACCCAGCACCGTCTCTGCAGATACTTCCAACAGCAGCCGCCCGACCACCTCTACGTCTCCCGCGTCAGAGCTACCAGCAGCAGCGGCAGTGGCAGCCGTGGCGGCAGCAGTGGCATCGGTGGCGGCGGCAGCAGGTGTTTGGCCAGGTGGGTAGAGAGAGCCTAGCTCATGACCCGAGCAGCCTATCAGCCGGTTCACACCCAGACTTGCCAGCTGTTCTTCTGCCACTCCTTCTCCTACCTCCTCTCCACCATCCCCACCGATTCCAACCGCTCCCCATCCCTCCCTGGCGTAGCACTTGTGCACACAGGCAGTGCAGGGCAGGGAGAAGGGCTTGTCTCCTGAAGGGGGACATCTGTCCTTGGGAAGCGTGCACTCCCTCTCACACGCCCCTGCAACTAGCTGCACCCAAGCCGACCGCACTCCACCTCTTATCCCACCACCAGCAGCAACAGCACCAGCAGCAGAACCATTCCCAAAGCTCCCCTCAATATTCCCACACCGGGGAACAGACGCGGGGCGCCAGAACGGAGTGAGTGCGCGGGCCATACTAAGGGTAGGAACCCCAGCAGCAGCAGCGGCGGCGGCAGCATAGTCAGACGAGGAGGGCGTGGGGATGGGATCGCAGGAGGCGGAGCCTCGGGCGGGGCCGCTGTGGTGGGAGAAGGTGGAGGCGCAGCCGAAAAGGTTGAGATTGAGGAGAGCTGGGTGGGAGGGCCACGCTGCCAGCTGACGGAGAAGAAGTGTGGAGTCCCATGCCTCGCCCACATTTATATTGAACTCGGTTATTACTATGCCTGCAGAGGAGAAGTGGTGCGGGACGGGGGGAATGGGAGTGTTGATGGAAGTGGAAGGGGTGGGAGAGGGATGGGGTCACAGGAGACGGAGCCTCTGGCGGGGCCTCTATGGTGGGAGAAGGTGGAGGCGCAGCCAAAGAGGTTGAGATTGAGCAGGGCGGGTTGGGAGGGCCAGGCTGCCAGCTGTCGCAGCAGGAGAGAGGATTCCCACGCCTCGCCCACGTTTATGTTGAACTCGGTTATTACTATGCCTGGGGGGGGGAGAGGGAGGAGTGAGGGAAAGGGGAGGAGGGCGGTGATAGGGGCAAGGAGAAGAACGGTTTGTGACTAAAGGAGCAGAAGAGTGGAGTCCCGTGCCTTGCACACGTTGATATTGAACTATGTCGTAGGGGAGGAGAGGGATGGGGGGTTTGGAAAGGGGAAGAGGAGGAAGAACGCTCTGTGAAGGACAGAGCAGAGCGGAATCTTCCATTCCTGGGCTGAGAGAGCAGCGCTGGGTGGGAGGGCTAAACGGTTTGTGACTAAAGGAGCAGAACAGTGGAATCCCATGCCGCGCCCACGTTGATTTCGAACTCGTATCTTCCTTTCCTGGGAGGGGCAGGGAGAGGGGGAGGGGGAGGGGGAGTGGGGGAGGAGTGAAGCCACACAGAGGGCGGGATGGATGCAAATAAGTGAGGCTGAAGGTGGGGCTGAGGGGGTGACAGACAGACCCGGCAGACGACCTTACAGGAACACATAACCGAGCTGATGATGATCTGGTTGAGGAGGTAGGGGAAGGGAGAAACACATTGCCGTTTTTCTGTGCCTATTGCTGCCCTACTGTGCCTTGTGCTGCTGCAAGCAGGCTGGGGAATGTTTCAGGAAGGAAGGACGGCAGGCTGAGGGCGGGGCGGATGGCACCACAGCCGAGTTACGGAGATGGGGGTAGGAGAGAGGAAGGACGTGTGATGTTGTTGGGTCGGGACAATATAGTTCAGTTAATATAGTTCAGTTAATATAGTTCAGTTAATGAACGAACGGGGGGGCTCACCTGGAGAATCTCCCAGGAAGGACGGGAGGCTGAGGGCAGGGCAGATGGCACCACAGGCTCGCACAGCGGAGTTGGTGACAAAGTTGCGCAGATGTGGAAAGGCTGTCGCTGAGAAGGGTATTAGGAGGTCCGGCCAGGGGTGACGCACTCTGGTGGAAGGGGAAGGGGATAGGGGGAGGATGGGGAAGAGTAGAGGAGTAGGATCAAGGGAGAGAGAGCAGAGGTAAGGCTGTGACTGAGAAGGGTAGGAGGAGGTCCGGCCAGGGGTGACGCACTCTGGTAGGGGAGAGGGGGAGGAGAGACAAGAGAGGCAGGAGAGAAAAGAGATGAAAAAAAAAGAGAAGAAGGGATGGAAGGGGAAGGAGACACAGCGAAGAGTAAGAGCAGATGAAGTCAGTTTATTATTGAGAAAACTCAAAAAGAGGTTTGTACAACGAGCCACACATCAAGCCACACACACCCCTACCCTACCAACCAGACACAACCCACACCACAGAACCCAATGACTAAAGCCTGCCACTCACTGCATGCGTGCTTCAGGTGCTGAGCCCCCCCCCCCCCAGTGTGACGATATACAGAGTTTTGAGACGTCTCAAAAGCCCCCCCCCCCCCCCCCCAGTGTGACGATATGCAGAGCAAGGGGAGCGTTTTTCCCCTTTTTTCGCACTTTTTGAGGTACCTTACAAAACATCTCTCTACATCTAACACTCACAGTGAGTGACCATATGCAGGAAGAAGGGAGCGTTCTTACCCTTCTCTTCTCCAGCGCCCCTGGGTGCGGCAGCAAACCAACCCCATCAGGCACAAGCCATCACTCACTGCGTGCTTCTGCTGCTGAAGCCCCTCGTTATGGACCCCCCCAGTGTGACTATATGGAGGCCAAAAGGGGCATGCTTCCCCGTCTCCGCATGCCCCTGGTTGGCCCGCACCTGCCACTCTGCCGTGAGGGCCAGCAGTCTCAAGAACACCCGCTTCAATGGATCCAATCCTTTGATCCCTTCTTTCGCTGCTGCTGCTGCCGCTGCTGCTGCTTCTGGAAGGGAGAACGTAAAAAGAAAAAGCATTAAGGGACATGAGTCACCCTGGTTGGCCCGCACCTGCCACTCTGCTGTCAGCGCCCTGGCTGTGGCCTCAGTGGGGAAGAGGCAGGGGTGCAAGAGAGGAGAGGAGAAGATGAGTATACACAATACAACACAGAGTGCCCACTCGTTGGCCCGCACCTGCCCTGCCACTCCGCTGTCAGAGCGAGCCGGCAGTCGATCAAGAACACTCGCTTCAACAGAACCAATCAGTGATCCCTTCTACAGGTAAAGCCAGCCAGGGAAGAAGCTGGAAGAGTAAACACCCTAACCAACACCTAGAACGAACAACCTTCGGCTGGACCTGATAATTATAGACTTTTAAAAGATAACACATAAGATAATATGAGAAGTATACCTGAGGCAGCCTTGGCAGCAGCGTCGGGGTCAGCAGCGCCAACAGCAGCGTCGGCAGCAGCAGCAGCAATGACGTCAGCAGGCCGCCACAGCGCCTCTGCTGCCATGCCCTCCACCACGCCCTTGCGGAACCACCGCACTGTGGGACCCAGTAGCTCGCCTGCTGCCCACGCCTGGGAGGGAGACATTGGGGGACAGAAAGGGGAACAACTAGTAGGTCACTTAGTGGGTGAGGGGGATGAGATCAGCAGCAGCAGCCACAGCGCCTCTGCTGCCATGCTCTGCTCTCTCCACCACGCCCTTGTGGAACGATCTGACTGTGGGACCCAGTAGCTCGCTTGCCGTGCATGCCTGGGAGGGACGGGAAAGGGAACAGCAGGGAAATGGAGCTGAAAAGCAATCTTAGCGCCTCTGTTGCCATGCTCTGCTCTCTCCACCACGCCCTTGCAGAACGACCTGACAGTGGGGTCTACTAGCTCGCCTGCTGCCCACGCCTGGAAGAGAGGGAAGGGGAATGAAATGAGAGACCCACAGGCAGCAGCAGAGAGTGACATGAGGCGCCTACACCTACCGCACACCACTTAACCGCACTACAACGCACTGAACCACAGCGCACCTGCTGTACGTGGAATTGCACTCTTAGAAGAGAACAAACATAAGCCCTGCTCGTGACTCTGGAGGCAGCAGCAGAGAGAGAGTGAGTGACACAACGCACCCACTGTACCTCTCAACCGCACTGAACCGCAACGCACCTGCTGCACTCGGAATTGCGCTCTCAGAAGAGCATCAAACATAAGCCCTGCTCGTGAATCCGGGGACAGTAGAGAGAGCGGCGGAAGGGCGTCAACACCCGAGCTCCCTTCCCCTCCTCCTGCTTCCCCTCCTCCTGCTGCTTCTGCTGCTTCTGTTGTTGCTTCAATGTTGGGAGCATCTGATGGGTTGGATGGGTCAGGAGTGTTGAAGACTGGCGTGTCGGTTGGCCCTAATTGGCTGGCGAGTTTCACTTCATCCATGCTGGAAAGAATTAACAGGCTCAATAAAAGCCAATTCAACATCTTGCCACCTTACCTCACCTACTTCCACCTATTCCCTCCCGGCAACTCCCACCGCATCCCACCGCATCCCACCGCATCCCACCGCATCCCACCGCATCCATCTGCCCCCATTGATTGGTCCATCGCGTTTCCACATGTGAGCCAACTCACCCGCAGGCCACGCCTCTCCTTCCGCGTCGTTCTCCGGATCTCCCGGCACCGTACCGCGCTCCGTCCACGTGGCATCGCGTCCGTGAACGGCGGCGACGGCGGACGAGAACGACACGTAGGACGGCGACACGCCGACGCGCACGAGCGACACGACCTCTGTGAACACGGCGAGCGCGCCGATTAGCGCGAGCACGAGCACCGGCGCTGATAGCGACCCGCCGCTCATGGTTGAACACCCACCTACACCTACGAACACCTACCTACACCTACACGACCAACACGGCGAGCGCGTCGATAACCACGAGCACGAGAACCGGTGATGGTAGCGACCCGCTCATCATTCCGGGAATTTTGGAACCTTGCCGCGCCGCGCTAGGTTGCATGGTTGCTACGCGGTGATGAGCTCCTTGCCACGTCAGCTAATAGTAATTGTAAGCTGGTGATTCGAGCTAGCGGATTCCCTGAGGTTATTGCGTCGTTGAGAAATCCGTTCCTCAGAGAAAGAACATCGGATTGACTCGATGACATGGTTAATTCATTTTCTAGGTAAATGCTCGTTCGAACTGGGGTGGAGCGGAGAGGATTGAGCAAAAGGCAGCGTAGAAAGCGGGAATGGTGGTGATCAGGGAATGGTTGGGGGCATGGTTGTTGGACGGCATTTTAGTATATGGTGTGGTGATTAGTGAGAGGTTGTTAGGAGCATTACATGATGGACTTTATTAGCATGCGGTGGGGTGAGATCATCAGTCGTTTCCAAACGGCATAAGGTATATCAGAACGGTCCAGAAGGGTTTCGAGCAGAAGTTGAAGAAGCCTTGCCAGGATTGAGTTTCCATCGGAATACCGGTGAAGCCGCGTCCGCTGCTTCGTGTCAAACTTGGATCGGCGACACGAAGTGGCGGACGTCCGGTTGCGATGATCCGGGTGGGTATCGGAATGTGCGACCGGGTCGTCCATCGGGCTGTGAAGTTCGAACTCCGGCTACGGTTTTGAGCGGCTGAAGGTAAATGCTGCGGAAACAGAACTCTACATTCGCAAGATATCTCGTGATCTGCTCCGTAGCGGGTTACATAATATGTGCGACTCTCATGGAGCCGAAACCATTTTTCTAAGCTGCGTCCTTCGGGACTTGTTTTCAAGCCCATCCGTCCACCGCCTAAAAACATTCCTTGCATGATCACCTCAGCAGAAGATAACGGGAAGCACCTAACCGTCCTAACGAAGTCCTTCCTGAGTGATATTTACTATTTCTCGTAACATGTGCATTCCGACCGCGTCTGCACAGTCGAGCCCGATGACTCTTCTCGTAGCATGTACATTTCGTCTCTTCTATAAATAGGCGCGCGTTTCCCTATCGTGCTGTTCCATTTTTGGTGCGCCTGTCTTCCCGCGCTTCGGCGTTTCGGAATAGCAGGGAATATATCCCTTCTAGTGAAAGCCGAGGAGTCAGAAAGCGACGCTATACTCAAGGGATTGAGTAGCTTGCAGCGGTTGCGGCTGCTCCTGCCGCTCCTGCTTGCTCCTGCCACTCCTCCGCCTGCTCGTCACACCGCGCCCGTCGTCGTGCTCTCGTCGTCCGTTTTCCCGCTCGCCGCGCGTCCAATGCCCGTCGCGATCGTGCACGCTGCGACCAGCTCTCCCCTCCATCATCATGCATCCCCGGCGCTGCCTCCACTCGCGCTGCTCTCGCTTCTGGCGCTGCTCGCGACGGCCATGCGCGAAACGGTTACCACTCGCCGTGGCGTTTCTTCTCCTCGTCGCCGTCGCCTTCGTGGCGACGCCCTTCGCTCGCCCTACTCTTTCCAAGCTATCATCATACGACCCCTCTACCCCAGATCTGCAGTCCCCAGGTACGTGGATGGATAAGCACCCTTTCAGGTGATTCTTCCCAGGTAACTGGAGATGCGCGTCGGATATGTTGTTCTCTTGTTGTTGGTGCCTTGTGCACCCAGTCTACATTGGTCACTCTCCCCCCCCCCCCCCCCCCCCCCCCCCCCCCAAAAAAAAAAAACAAAACATGTAAAATAGATTCTTTTCTTTTTTCTTTTTCTTTTTTTTTTTCTGCCATCTTTATGGAGTCACCCACTGCCTTGCACACTATGCCGTTTAACTCAATCCCATGTTTCCAACCCACCATCTCCCTCCCTCCCTCCCTCCCTCCCTCTCTCGCTCTCTCCCTCCCTCGCCAGGCTCATCCTCTCAAGACCCAATCGCCTCAGAAGCTCAGAAACCCACCATTCCGTCCCTCCCCTCCACAGCGCAAGAACCTCCTCCTTTGGCACAGCTTAAGAGCTCTCATACCACGCAAGCAGCCTTCTCCCTGGAACGTGTTGAGAAATCTCAGAACACAAAAACCGCCTTTCCTGTGCCATCAACCCTCGTTTCATCCTTGCCACTGCCCCACTCGCTCTCATCCGTACCTCTGCCCCAGCCTCAGTCCACCTTGCACCAACACCAGTCTCACATCTCACTGCCTGATTCTAATTTCGGGTCCAATCAACAGCAAGTGTCCTCATCACCCCTTCCGCTGCATACCCAGTCCTTGTACCCACACCAGCCTCACATCTCACTGCCTGCAGAAACTTTTGAGCCACCTCAAAGGTCATTGCCTGCAATACCCACGTTTCCCGATCCCAGCCACCAGTCTTTGCTCCCGCAGCAGCCCAACGTCGCATTGCCTGAGGAGCTTTCTGAGTTACCTTTGCCCACATTAAGCCTTCCCCATTCTAGCCACGAGGCATGGCAGAGACACCAAGTGCAAGTCGCACCACCTGAACCCGCCAACATCCATCCAAACACACCCGCTTCCTGGTTACGTCCCTATCCTCTACCTGATCCTCCTAAAACCGATCCGCCCTCTTTAACCAACCAACCCTCTCACACCCTTTCTGATTACAGCTCAGTTGAATTGAACCCCTCTGTATTCCCACCACCTATCCCTGATGCAGCCCATGAAGCTCACTTGCTCACTTCCTCCTCCTTATCTCACTCCAACCACATTTCCATTGTCCCTCAAAACTATCCAAGTCCTGTGGTTCCCACTAGCATCATGCCTGTGCCGACCCAAGACCCAACCAGCACCATGCCTACACCGAACATAGACCCCACCAACAGCCCCCCTCCTGCTTCCATCCGCACACCCGTAAACATTTTCTTCCGAGGCGAGTTCGGATATGAGTTAATTGCCGCCCTCCCGTTTGCCTATTGGCACTATTTAAACGGCTCCTTAAACTCCACTAGGTTCTGTGCCATGCCGTCCCTCGCGCTGCTCTACTATTTCAGCCCGATCCAGACCGTCGGATGGAAGTGCAAGCGATCTGCGCACTTCAATTTTGTGATCAAGCGGTATGGGTTCAAGGAGGGTTTGCATGATAGCGAGATTCCGGATACGTGGACGGCTCCTCCTCTCGCCTCCCACATTAGGAAGCTTGGGCCGGTTTGGACTGACGTTCCCGCAGGTGCTCCTTTGGTTGTTGTCAGTAACAAGTTTGAGACGGAGTGGGGTGAGCCGCCGGTTAATTTTATCGACATTCCGACGCTGAAGCGCATCTTTAGTGAGTTTCTCAATAAGGGGTATTATGTGGTGTACAACCGAGCGGGGAAGGCGTTTAGGACGGATCGGGAGCAGCGGGACTTGACAGGTTTAGGCGAGTATAGAATGTTCCGGGAGGAGTTTCAGTCGCAGCCTCGTTTCACTACAATGCAGAAGCTTCGCAGGAGCTGCTCGGAGTGTGACTATAACGAGGTGCAGTTCAGAACAATGGCACGGAGCTCATGCTTTATAAGTGTACAGGGCGGCACGTCGGTACTGTCGAGCTACTGGGGCGGCAGGAATATTATTTATTTTAGAAGAGGAGCAGAGGAGGCTGGTAGGGCGTATGAGAGAATATATCCAAGGCTGTCTGGGTGTCAAATAGATGTTGTGAAAAGTTATGATGCATTGACAAGGAAGGTAGAAGAGATGATCCATGATGGTAGATGCCAAGCCATGTAACAAATAGGAAGCTTTATATATATATTTTTTTAAGGTCTTGAAGTGCAACAATGTCTAGGAAATCAATGCATTTGTTAATTTGCAGAAGCTTGTATATTGTGAGTGAAGAAAACTCTGTATTCCTACGAAGTGTTTTATTATCGAGCAAGCGTTGTTGCCAAACCCCGAAACCGCGCCTATCCCCTCCCCCCCCACCCACACACCCTTTCCAGCACTCGCAAAACCCTAATTTCGATCGCCAGCTTGTGCAACCCTAGTTTCAGCTCTTGCACAAATCATTGCATTCCTTCGGTGTGTATGGCTGCTCGTCTGCGTTCGCCTCCTTAGCAGCCGTCAGCGCGTCTGACCATTCTTTTTCATCTTCGTGATCATCTAGCTACCTTCTGTTCCGTTCGGCCACAGTTCGTCTATAAGCCCTCCTATCTGGCCTTTTTCGTCTGCAGTCTCGCGTTCCCGCGTGGCCTCCCCGTCAGCAGATTGATTTCGCGAATTCACCTCGTCGTTGACTCTCCTTCAACCACGAAATTAGCTGCCAATAGCGGGAGTGACTATGGGGGTACAGACGGAGGAGGCTCATCAGATGCCTCGGAGCACGCGCGTGTGCGTCAAGGGGTTGCCAGAATACGTGACGGAGGACAGACTGAGGGAGCACTTTTCCATCAAAGGCCACGTCACCGACGCCAAGATCATGCGCACGCGGTGAGCGCGCTCCTGCCAGCCAGGGTTGCATGACCGTTTCTATTTCGGAGTCGATTTTGAGAGTTTCGAGTCTTGACGTTGGCTGGCGTTGCTGGCGTCGAATGACCGACGCTATTCTCAAACGCAACGCCAGCCAGCGTCACACGAGACGAGTTTTGAGTCGAGCGTCACGTGACGTGGAATGCTGGGGGAATAAAGTGCTTGGACTGCCGCGCCGCTCATCCGCTTGCTTCTGCCGCCACATCGCATCGCCTCCCTTTTCTCATCGCGCCCGTTTTCACCCGATACCAGTGAGGTCGTCGCAGGAATCTCGCTTGTACTTCAACTACTGGTTCGCAAAACTGTTTTTCCCGTTGCGCCTGCCATCTCATCCCCACTCCGTCCCTCCCCGTCTTCCTCCTCCCCCTCCTCCCCCCCCCCCCCCCTCTGCCCCCTCTTTCCCGTCTCCGACCCCTCTCATTCCCCTCAACTCGCCGTCCTCTTCCCTTCCTGTCCCATCCCCTCGCGCTTCACCTCGCATCAACCTACCACCATCTCATATCTCCCCCCCCTCTTCCCACCCCCTCTCCCTTCTCTCGAGCCCTCCCCCCTCCCCACCAGTGACGGGCAGTTTGGCTTCGTGGGGCTGCGATGCAATAGAGGAGGAAGAAGGCTTCTTTCGCCTTGCTTCCGCTTACTGCCATCTCATCCCCTTGCTTTTCCCCTCCCACCAGCGATGGGCGGTCGCGCCAGTTTGGTTTTGTGGGCCTGCGATCAGAGGAAGAGGCAGCGGCGGCGATAGCCTACTTCAATCGCTCCTTCATGGACACCTTTCGCCTCACATGCGAGGTGAGTGGAATGGGGTAACCCTGTTACATATTGGTACAGCAGCAGCGGCGATAGCCTACTTCAATCGCTCCTTATGGACATTTTTCGCCTCACCTGCGAGGTAGGTGTGGTAACTGTGTTACATATTGTTGAGACAGTTACTATGGATGGATACGTCAGTGATAGGTTATTTCAATCGCTCCTTCATTAACACGTTTCAACTCACCTGCGATGTGCGTGAGTGCGGTAACCCTGTTACATATTGTTGTGTCAGTTACTATTCGCACTGCTGCTTCAGTCGCTCCTTCATGGGCACTGTCCGCCTCACCTGCGAGGTAACTCGGTTGCTGCATAGGGTTACATGGTCTCTTGGGTAACCGGGTTACAGCAGCAGTGGCAATTGCCTACTTCATTGCTCCTTCATTCATGGGCACCTTCCGCCGTGCGAGGTGGGTGAGTGGGGTCATTGTGCTGTGTCCCATCTGGTTACAGCAGCAGGGCCGCTGCGATAGCTTTCTGACTTCCACCGCTCCTTCATGGACACGTTTCGCTTCACCTGTGAGGTGCGGTAACCCTGTTACAATCTCGGACGTCAGTTACTGCTTGAAACTAGGGGAGCTGACACTTCGCCTAGTCCAGTCGAGAGTGATCACTTGTAAGTCTACTCAAAAGCCATCTATCCAATCCCCATGTTCCCCTCCCCTGTTCCGCTGTTCCTTTCTCCATCCGCCCTCTTCCTCCACCATAGCCTCGCCTTCAGTTTGCGATGCCCATCGGCCAGGCCACACAGCACTGCCCCGCCTGCGGTGACTTTTGATTTGAGTCTCCAGGCCACACGCCACTGCCCCGCCCGCGCATGGAGCAAGCACATGCAGGCTAAGGAGACGACTTTCGAATGCGAGCTCAAAAGTGAATAATGTCCCACCAGCGCAATCCCCATGGCCCGGCGACTAGACCCCTTCCATTGCAGTTCGCGATGCCCATTGGTCAGACGGCGTTACCCCGCGCATGGAGCAAGCACACGCAGGCTAAGGAGGTGTTATTTTAGTCAACTTTAAAGCCAACCATCCCCATTGTCCCTCTTCCTCCGCCTTCCCTCTTCCCCCGCCATCCCCGTGCCTTCAGTTCGCAATGCCCATTGGTCACACAGCGTTACCTCGTGCATGGAGCAAGCACACGCAGGCCAAAGCGACCAAGGGCGAGGGGAAGACGGGCGAACAGGGAGCAGCAGAAGTGGGAGGGGGGAAACAGGGTGGGAAGAAGGCGGAAGATGGAGGGGATGGGGGGGAGGGTGGGGAGGGAGCAGAGGGAGTGGGAGGGGAGAAAGGGAAGAAGAAGGCAGGGAGGGTGGTGGGAGGGGTGGCTGTGAAGCAAGCAGCGCAGGAGGATGAAGGGTTTAGGGAGTTTCTAGAGGTGATGGAGCGAGGGGGAAAGAAGAAGGTTTGGGCGAATGATACTGTTGATGGGGATGGGGGGAGGGGAGGGGGGGTGGGGAAAGGGAGGAGTGGTGGGAGTGTGAGTGGAGGAGTGGTGGAGGTGGAGAGGGGAGGGAGGAAGAGTGGGGAGGTGGAGGAAGGGGAGGAGAGTGATGATGAGTTGTATGGGGATGTGATAGTAGAGGGGGATGGGAGTGAGGAGGAGGGGGAAGAGAGAGGGGACGGAGATGGGGATGAGGAGGGGAGTGAGGGGGAGGAGGGTGAGGAGGGGGAGGAACGGGAGGAAAGTGAGGAGGAGGAGGGTTTGAGTAATTTGGATTATCTCAAGAAGAAGGTTGCTTCGAATTGGAGTGATGAGGACGATGATGATGAGGAGGAAGAGGGGGGAAACGAGGGAAATAAGGAAAACGTGGGGAGGAGGGTGGGGAACCAGGACGAGAGTGAGGGAGAGGAGGATGGAGACGTGGAGGAGGGGGGAGAGGGGGAAGAAGAAGAGGGGGAGGAAGAGGAGGAAGGGGAGGAGAACGAGGATGAAGAGGAAGAAGGGGAAGAAGGGGAGGAAGAAGAGGAAGGGGAAGAGGAAGGCGATGGTGGCAACACGGATGGTGTTGTGGATGGGGCAGCAGCGGAGGAGGGAGGCGGGGCAGTGGTGGATGGAGGGGCAGCGGAGGACGTGAGGGAGACGGGGCGGCTCTTCCTCCGCAACCTCTGCTACTCCGCCTCGTACGCCCCTCCCCCTCCTCTCGTTCCTCCTCTCCCCTTCTTTCTCTCCCCTCCTCAACCCTAAACCCTAAATCCTAAACCCTCGTACGCGCCTCCCCCTCCTCTTGTACCTCTTCTGCTGTCTCTGGTGTGTTTTGAGTTCACTGAAAACGTTGAGGCACACCAGAGGACGTGAGGGAGACGGGTCGGCTCTTCCTCCGCAACCTCTGCTACTCCGCCTCGTATGCGCCTCCCCTACCTTCCCTCCCCTCCAACTCTTTCCTCTGTCCCTCCCCTCCCCCCCTCGTGGTTTCCCCGTTTCATCTGCCCCTCCCCCTCTCGTATTTTCCCCGTTTCCTCTGCCCCTCCACCCTCCCCCTCTCCCCTTCCCCTCCCGCTCTCCTGCTCATACGCTTTTAAGTATTTCCCAAAGCTTGTACGTTCGTCTCCTTGTCGTACCCCGCACCCCCCTTGTTCCCGCTCCCCGCCCGCTCCCCGCAAGCCCCTCCCAAAAATGTAGGCCTTTGCGTTTCCTTGCTCTCTGTCTCCTATGTTCCTCCTGTCGTATGCCTGTGGGAAATCGCAAGGTCGCCTCGTTGCCGCTCAATCTCCCCACCCCTCCCCGTGTGTCCCTCTTCGTTTGCTCCCTTTCTGACGTGTTGCAGGTTGTTTTTGAGACGATTTTTTAGCCGACTCAAAACTACTGTCCACACCAAGCCAAGCTCACCCGCCCACCTCCCTTCCCCTTCCCATTCCATGCACACGTGCTTATGCCCATCCCATCCTGCTGCAGTGAGGACGACCTGCTGCGTGCCCTACTGGCCACCTTTGGATCGCTGACAGAGGTGCACCTGGTGGTAGACCAAGCTCATCAATTCACCTCCCTTCCCCTCCACGTGCATATTCCCGCCCTGTGTCTCGCAGGGAGGATGACCTGCGTGCTCTTCTCGCTCCCTATGGCTCGCTAGCAGAGGTGCATCTCGTGGTGGACCGACACGCCAAGCTCATGTGCTCCCTCCGGCCCCTTCCACACGCACCTGTTTATACCCAACCCGCATCACAGGGAAGACGATCTGCGTGCCCTGTTGTCCCCCTTCGGCTCGCTGGCAGAGGTCCATCTGGTGGTGGACCGACACACCAAGCTCTCCAAGGGCTTTGCCTATGCGCTCTTCACCGTGCCTGAAGATGCCGTCAGGTGCGCGCTGCTGTTACCATGTTACCACCACGAGGTACTCAGGGTATCCCCAGTGGCTCTCCAAGGGCTTTGCCTATGCGCTCTTCACCGTGCCTGAAGATGCTGTCAGGTGAGGATGGGTGCCGTCTGGTGAGGGTGGGTGCAGTCAGCTGGGCATGCTGCAAGGGCTCCCCCATGGCTCTCCAAGGGCTTCGCCTATGCGCTCTTCACCGTGCCCTAGGATGCTGTCAGGTAGGTGGGCGTGTGTGCTGTCAGGTGGGCTCTGTACTGTTGGTGCAGTGCCAAGCCATTTACTGGCAAGCTCTCCAAGCGCTTTGCCTATGCGCTCTTCACCGTGCCCTAGGATGCTGTCAGGTGGGCATGCTTCTGTTACCGCGTTACCACCACGAGGCAGTCAGGGGCTCCTGAGTGGCTTTGCCTATGCGCTCTTCACCGTGCTCGAGGATGCTGCCAGGTGAGGTTTGGTTTGGGTGGTGCTGGCAAGTGGGCGCTGCTGTTACCACCGTGCAGTCAAGGGTTACACAGTGGCTCTCCAAGGGTTTCGCCTTTGCGCTTTTCACAGTGTCTGAAGACGCCGTCAGGTAGGTGGGCGCTGGCTGGTGCTGTCAGTCAGGTGGGCATGTAGCATGCTGGTGTTAGCCCCCATCAGGTATTCAGGGGCTCTCAAACCCTAACGGCTTTTCAAGAGCTTTGCCTATGCGCTCTTCACTTCACCGTGCCTGAAGATGCTGTCAGGTGAGCAGTGGCAGGTGTATTGTGATATGGTGAGCTGTGGTGGTTTGCACTGAGTGTCCCACTCCTTGCACATGTGTTTGTGTGTTTGTGTGTTTGCGCGCACGCGCGTGGGCGTGCCATGCATCTGTGTACGTGCCATGTAATCTCCCATCCCTACCCTGCCTCTCGCGGCTGCCCCAGCTCTGCCCTTCACGTGGCTGCGCTGCGCTACACTGCAGTGCCATGAAGGCCCCTGGCTCCTCCATCTTCCTTCCCTCACCACACACCAATTTCTGTCTCTCCTCTGCTCCACCAATCTCTCCCCCATGCCAGCCCATGACGTTGCTGTGATGCACTGCAGTGCCAGCCATGACGGCCCTTGGATCTTCAATCTTTCAAGGCTGTCTGCTGCATGTGCTGCCGGCGCACATGCACACCCCACCTCTCTTCACCTTCCGCTCTTCCCCACACCCTCCACCCCACCCGCTCTCTCCTTTTGCCCATCACATGACTGTGCTGTGGTACATTGCAGTGCTATGAAGGCCCTCGACTCCTCCATCTTTCAAGGCCGTCTGCTGCACGTGCTGCCCGCACACAGGCCACCACCCAAGAAGGATGAGTGAGTCGTGGATGCAGACGCACAGAGGAGGGAGGGCTTTTGGGAGTGAAGAGAGCGGGTGAAGTGGGAGAAGAGAAGTGGGTGAGTGAGTGGGTGAGCTGGGATGAAGGAGTGGGTGAGTGAATGGGTGAGCTGGGATGAGAGAGTGCAACGGCCTGCCTGCCTGCCATGAGGTGCCTCCTGTCCTGTGCTTCCAAGGTCGACTGCTGCACGTGCTGTCAGCACACAGGCCGCCACCCAAGAAGGAAGAGTGAGTGAGCCTTGCAGGCAGACACACAGAGGGAGAGGAGGGGGAGCTGTTAGTGTGAAGAGAGTGGGTGGGGTGCGGTGGGGTGCGGTGGGGTGGGTGGGGTGGGTTGAGTGGGTGGGGTGCGGTGCAAATGCCTGAATGTAGAATGTGACTATTCGTACTTGTTCTTGACCTGCGCTGGCTTGTGTTTTCTTGTTGACGCATCATGTTGTGTTCTCTCGCTAACACCCCCCCATTCAGGGATGCGAACCTGCAGGCAAGAACGTTGAAGGAGAGGAGGGAGGAGAGTTGAATCTTGTTGACCTGTGTTGACTTGTGTCGACTTGTTTGCGCCCTCCTTAACACGGGTGGACTTGTGTGCAGGGATGTGAACCTGCAGGCAAAGACGTTGAAGGAGAGGAGGGAGGAGGAGAGGAAGAAGCGTGAGGCAGGAGGGGACACCCGTGCCTGGAGCTCCTTCTATATGCGACCTGATACGGTAGGAGGGATGGGTGCATAGCATGTATGGGCCTTGTTGTGAGCTCCTTCTATATGCTACTTGATATTGTAGGAAAGGCGGCTTCTTGAGGAGCCATGCAATACGGAGATACGTAGTGGCAAAACGAGACCTTCTCGACCCATCAGCCAGCGACACAGCCTTCCGATTGGCATTGGGAGACCAATGGCGGACACACATAGTGGCGGACACACATAGTGGCGGACACCAAGCGCGCCCTGCTAGACGCTTCGTGCTCCATGCTCTCTTCCGTTCTCCTCTCCTCCCACAGGTAGCAGAGGCAGTGGTGCAAAGATATGGCATCGCAATGGGAGATCTCCTCGAACCATCAACGGCAAGCGACACAGCAGTGCGGCTGGCGCTAGGCAAAGCCCACATAGTGCCGGACACCAAGCGCGCCCTGCTGGACGCTGGCATCTATGTGGCCCGCATGGAGCAATTCGCCACCGATGCTGCCGCCAAACAGGCTTTCATTCCCTGCTCCCTGCTCCCTGCTCCCTCCCGTTTCAAGTCCGTGCCCATGATCGCCTCCAACCCCCCTTCAGGTAGCCGAAGCAGTGGCGCAAAGATATGGAGTGCGAGATCTCCTCGACCCATCAGCGAGCGACACAGCAGTTCGACTTGCTTTAGGAGAGGCACACATAGTGGCAGACACCAAGCGCGCTCTGCTTGACGCTCCCTGCTCCGTGCTCTCCTCTCATACACGTGCCTCCTCCAGGTGGCTGAAGCGGTGGCCCAGAGATACGGAGTGGCAAAGAGAGATCTGCTCGACCCATCAGCGAGCGACACGGCAGTTCGACTTGCCTTAGGAGAGGCGCACATAGTGGCAGACACCAAGCGCGCCCTGCTTGACGCCGGCATCGATGTGGCTCTTATGGAGCAATTCGCCACCGCCGCCACCGCTGCTGCCGCTGCTGCTGCCGCTGCTGCTGCCGCTGCCAAGGCAGCTGGGAAGAAGGATGCCAAGGCAGATGGCGGTGCTGGTGGTGGTGCTGGTGGTGGTGTAAGCAGCTTGGCGCGCAGCAGGAGTGTGATTCTGGTGAAGAATCTGCCGTTCAAGGTGGAGGCAGGGGAGCTGGTGGGGCTGTTCCAGCGGTTCGGACCGGTGGCGAGGTTTGTGCTGCCTCCTACCAACACTGTTGCATTGGTGAGTGGGGGAGCAGGAGGGCAGGGCGGGTGGGGGAGAGGAGGTGGACTAGAGGAATATGGGAGTAGGTGGTGCTTGCGGTGGTGGGGGAGGTGGTGCTGGTGGTGGTGCTGGCAGCTTGGCACGCAGCAGGAGTGTGATTCTGGGGAAGAATCTGCCGTTCAAGGTGGAGGCAGGGGAGCTGGTGGGGCTGTTCCAGCGGTTCGGACCGGTGGCGAGGTTTGTGCTGCCTCCTACCAACACTGTTGCATTGGTGAGTGGGGGAGCAGGAGGGCAGGGCGGGTGGGGGAGAGGAGGTGGACTAGAGGAATATGGGAGTAGGTGGTGCTTGCGGTGGTGGGGGAGGTGGTGCTGGTGGTGGTGCTGGCAGCTTGGCACGCAGCAGGAGTGTGATTCTGGGGAAGAATCTGCCGTTCAAGGTGGAGGCAGGGGAGCTGGTGGGGCTGTTCCAGCGGTTCGGACCGGTGGCGAGGTTTGTGCTGCCTCCTACCAACACTGTTGCATTGGTGAGTGGGGGAGCAGGAGGGCAGGGCGGGTGGGGGAGAGGAGGTGGACTAGAGGAATATGGGAGTAGGTGGTGCTTGCGGTGGTGGGGGAGGTGGTGCTGGTGGTGGTGCTGGCAGCTTGGCACGCAGCAGGAGTGTGATTCTGGGGAAGAATCTGCCGTTCAAGGTGGAGGCCGCGGAGCTGGTGGGGCTGTTCCAGCGGTTCGGACCGGTGACGAGGTTTGTGCTGCCGGCCACCAACACTGTTGCATTGGTAAGCAGGGTGGCAGGGGGGAGGGCAGTGAGAGGCGGACGTGAGGTGAGGTGGGAGAGGAGGAGGGGGGGGGGGTATAGGGGGAATTTCTGCGTCTTGGGTTTGTTTTGGTTGCATGGCGTGCGTGTGGAGTGGATAGGCATAGGCGCAGCACAGATGGGGAGGCTAAGCAGCTGTTTTTTCATTCCCAACTTCCATGGCTTCTGTAGGCGTGTCAAGTCAAGTCTGGAATTTCCAGCATCCATGCTCGTATACTCTGTTTTGAGAATTCTCAAAAGCATCCATGCTTGTATACTTTCAGACCCCTACCACCATCCCCCAATTCTCCAATCCCCTCCTCCCTCTCCCTCCCTCACTCCCATCCTTCCAACCCTTGTTTCGTCTACCCTCTTGTTCCAGTCCCTCTAGTACTTCCAACCCTGTCCCTTTCCTTCCACACCCCCATCCCTTCGTCCCTCTCCCCCTTCACCCATTCCCCACACCACATAACCCCCTGTCCCTCCCTCACTCCCATGGCCAGGTAGAGATGGCTGATTCTGCGGATGCCAAGAGGGCCTTCAAAGGCAAGCTGCCCCCTCCACCTTTCCGTCTTTTCACCCATCCCCCACATACCCCCCCTCCTCTCCCCCCCCCCTCCCTCCCTCAATCCCCCCTGTTTTCCTCCCTCGCTCCCGTGGTCAGGTAGAGATGGCTGATTCTGCTGATGCCAAGAGGGCCTTCAAAGGCCTCGCCTATAAAAGATACCAGTGAGTGGCTTGTACATGGTACGATTCTTTTATGTTCTACAAGTGATTCAAATGAGTGCTTTTAGCAACTTAACCTAGTTATTATCTCAGCCTGTCCAGCTAAACCTAGTGCTTCTAATAAGCGTTGGCGAAAATGCCAGCTAACACAATGTGGTCAGTGTTAGCGCGGCTTGCAAAACGTTTGCCCATCTTAGCCCTGATGCATCCGTGCATTCCTTGAATTTGATTTAGGGATTATTCTTCACTCCAGCCTCCACGTTCTCTATGAGTCAACTGGACATGTAACCACGGGTCTCCTTCACCCTTTGCACCGTTCTCAACACCCTTCAACCTCCTTGAACCCCCTATTTATTTGTCTTTTTTTTGGTCTACCAACCAGGCACGTGCCACTCTACCTCGAATGGGCACCAGAAGGAATCTTCCTAGAACCCGCAGCACCATCAGACGCACCAGCTCAGGCAAACACAACAGCAGCTGCAGCAGCAGCAGCAGCAGCAGGAGGCGGGCGGGGGGGCAGGAGAGGGAGGAGCAAGAGAAGGGAAGGAGGGAGGTGGGCTGAAGAGTATGAAGAAGCAGGGAGCGGTGGGGTTGCTGCCGGTGGTGGTGGATGGGAAGGCAGCCAGGCGCATGGCTGCTGAGGCGGAGATGGTGGGGGGAGTGGGGGGGAGAGATGGGGGAGGAGAGGGGGTGGAAGGGCATGCAGCGGAAGGGGAGGAGGACGGGCAGGTGAGCCTAGGAGGTGGGGGGAAATGGGCTGGTGAGGCCGCAAGAGGGGGGATTCGAGGGAACAAACAATGGCAGTGGGTTTGATTTGGGTGGAGGATGTGGTGGGAGGGAGCGTTGTGGGTGGTGGGGGGTGAATTGAGTTGCACAGGTGTGTGTTGAGAACCTGAGCTTCACCGTCCTCCCTTTCCCCTTCTAATGCCTTCCTGTTTCCCCTTCCCCCCTGCCCTCTTCTTCTAGTGCTTTCCCGTCTTCTCTTCCCCATTCCGCCTCTTTTTTCCGCTTCTAATGCTTTCCCTTCCCCCTTCCGCCCCTTTTTCTGCTACCAATGCTTTCCCGTCTTCCCTTCCCCCCTCCCACCCCCTTTTTCTGCTTCTAATGCTTTCCCATCACCCCTTCCCCCCTCCCCTTCCTTCCCCTTCTCTCTTCTCCCCGCATCCCAGCCCACGAGCCACAGTGTGTTTGTCAAGACCCTGAGCTTCACTTCCCCCACTTCCCTCTTCCTCTGCCTCCTGCCTCAACTCCCTCCCTCCCTACTCGCATTTTCCCCTCGCTCGCCCCCTTTTGCCACCACCTTCCCAGCCCACGAGTGCCAGTGTGTTTGTCAAGAACCTAGCTTCACAGCCCTTCCTTTCTTTTCCCACTGGCTTCCTGTCCCCCCTCCTTATTCCTGCCCCCCCCCCCCCCTTCGACCAGCACCATCCCAGCCCACGAGCCACAGTGTGTTTGTGAAGAACCTGAGCTTCACAGCCCTTCCTTTCTTCTCCCACTGCCTTCCTGTCCCCTGTCCTTGTGACTGGCCCCGCCTGCGCCACCTTCCCAGCCCACGAGCCACAGTGTGTTTGTGAAGAATCTGAGCTTCGCCACAACAGAGGCACAGCTGAGGGAGCACCTGGAGAAGCTGCTCAGAAGCAAGCACGCCGGGGGCAAGGAGGGTCCGTCCATACGCAGCGTCACGGTGAGAAGTGGATCTGTTGCGAGGCAGAGGGGGGGGGAGAGGGGGGAGAGAGAGGGGGAGAGAGAGGGGGGGAGAGGGAGAGAGAGGGGTGGGGAGATGGGAGACGTGGGGGCCTTGTGTTCATAAATGAATGGCGAGAGCAGCTGAGATTCCTTGTGCGAGGTCATGTGCTTTTTACCTGGCATGCATGTAGCCTTTAGCGCGCATTCTACTTGTTCCTCAACCCCCTTGAGTGCAAAACGGCGAGCTTTCGAGAAGTGTCAAAATCTGTGTTAAACAACAATATATATGTATATATTTTTTTATACATATATATCCCCCTCGTGTGTGAAGCCCCTGTGTGTGACACATAAAGCAGACGCCTCAACAGTTGTCCAACTTTGCTCCTCCCTCACCCGCCTTGGTTGTGAACTCACTGCAGATCAAAAAGCGGGTCCGGAATGGCAAGCAGCTGTCGATGGGGTTCGGATTTGTGGAGTTTGGATCGGTTCTTGCTGCACACTGCGCTTGCAAGCTGCTGCAGGTGAGTCTGTGGTGTGGTCTCCATATCCTGATCCATACATGTATGCAAACCATGTTTTTGAGGGCGGAAGTGGGGTAAGGACAGTTGCAGGCGACCCGCTGCCGACCCCTACACCATTCTGAAATCCGGTACTCTATTCTTCCTTCCTGCCGTAACTGCGTTCAACTCCTGACAGGGAACCGTGTTGGATGGGCATGCGTTGCTGCTGCAGCTGAGCCAAGGGTAGGCAAAGGGGGCGCGAGAACAGCTGCAAGCAAACCAATGCTGATACATCCTGAACGCCTCTACACCTCTCTCCCACCAACTCTCCCAAAACCCACCTCTCTCCCAAAATTCCTTCAACCCTCCAGAGGGCACTTTGCTGGATGGGCATGCGTTCTCTGCTGCAGCTGAGCACAGCTGCAGGCAACCCTCATAATGCCCATTCAGAATTTCTCTACTCTACCCTACTCCACGCTACTGTTCCCTTCTGCCCCTACTGTGTTCAAATCTCCCCAGGGCACTGTGTTGGATGGGCACGCGTTGCTGCTGCAGCTGAGCAAAGGGGAAGCAAAGGGGGGCGAAGGGAAGGGGGAGGCAGCAGGAGCAGGAGGCAAGGGGAAGGAGAGCTCAACGAAAGTGATCGTGCGGAATGTGGTGAGTTGAGGGTGGGGAGAGGGGGAAGGGGATGGGGGAGGGGAGAGAGTGGGGGTGTGCAGGGGGCAAGGGGAAGGAGAGCTCGACCAAAGTGATTGTGCGGAATGTGGTGAGTTGAGGGTAACACTAACGAATGGGAAAATGAACATTGCGTCCCTCACCCTCAACACATAGTGGTTGGTCTCCCGTAGCTATCAATGGGCCAGAGGAGGAAAGGTTGCAAGAAGGACACCACAAAGTTTTGATTAGGAGGGGGATGGGAGAGGAGGGGGTGTGGACTTGAAGAATAGCAGGGGCCAAAGGGAAGGAGAAATTGGCAAAAATAAACTATGTGGAATATGGGGACATGGGGAGTTCTGAATGTGTACAATGGGGTCAAACCAGAAGAAGATAAAGAAGATGAAAAAGAAGAAAAAGAAAAAGAAGCCAGACATTGCCCAAGAGGGATACTCAGCAACACCATCCTACTTCTTCTGTCACTTTCGTCTCACTCTCTCCCTGCCCAACCTTCTCTGCACTCGAATCTCCCTTTCTCCCACCAGCCATTCGAGGCCACCAAGAGAGACATTCAGCAACTTTTTGCACCTTTCGGGCAGGTGAGCTTCGTGCGCTGGTGAAATGAGAACGGGGCAGGTAAGGTTTTACACGGGAACCGGTGAACGTAACTTGACAGGTACTTTCTCTCAGAATACTCTTCGTATAGTCTTGTTTGAGTATTTACAATTTTTATCTGCAACATAAATGACAGTCTTTCTTGAAATTGGCAGGGCCTCCGTGCCTTTTCCCGTGAGCTTAACAGGGTTCATTGAGAATTCATTTCTTATTCTGCAATTCCCTTTCCCCTTTTCTCTCATCTTGCTCGCCATTTGTCAAAAACTTCTTCCTCTCATCCCCCACCACCACCCACAAACCCCACCCGCTCTCCTCCACCTCTTGCCCCTCTTTTCTCTCCCCACCAGCTGAAGAGCATGCGGCTACCCCCGCAAGTTTGACGGGGGCCACAGGGGGTTTGCGTTTGTGGAGTTTGCAACAAAGAGGGAAGCAGAGAGTGCCTTTGATGCGCTCAAGAGCACCCACCTGTACGGCCGTCACCTCGTGCTTGAACGGGCCAAGAAGGGCCAGGCCAGGGGCTCACCTGAATGGAGCCCATTATTCGCTCTCAGAGCCTTGACTCTTATTCTCCCCGTTGCTTCTCCTCCCCCCTCCCCCCTCTCTTCCCCACCAGCTCAAGAGCATGCGCCTGCCGCGGAAGTTTGACGGGGGCCACAGGGGGTTTGCGTTTGTGGAGTTTGCAACAAAGAGGGAAGCAGAGAGTGCCTTTGATGCGCTCAAGAGCACCCACCTGTACGGCCGCCACCTCGTGCTTGAACGGGCCAAGGAGGGCGAGGGGCTCGACGAGCTACGTGCCAAAACTGCCGCCCAGTTTCTGGACGGTGGGGCGGGTGGCGTGCGGCAGAAGAAGCGTGCCAAGCTGGGGCAGGGCGTGGATGACAGTGATGTGGCATTCCGAGAAATGCACTTTGCATGACCTAATCAGGCCCCTAGATTCGTTTTGAGGTAGTCTGACGCCTCAGAGTACACCTTCTTCCTAGTCTGGCTGTCAGAGTTTGCCAACTTTTCGAGTCTGAAAGTTCAGAATTAACAATTATTGCAACGCTGATCTTACAGACTTGCAGTCAATTTTTGCTCCTGTATGAAAACACTAGTTGGAATTGGTGTTGTTTACAGCAATTCTGTACCAACGCGACATGGTAGCGGTGCCGCGCTGGTGAAATTTCTGGGTTCCCGCCCGTGATTGACGGAGGTGCTACCTACACGCCGCCAGGCTGGCGCAAACCCTTGTACTATCGGTTTCAGAGTAGACCCCCGATACAAGTCTGAGGCTCAGCCTACACTACTACCGTATTACCCCGGATATAGGCGCATCTGCGCTTATAATAAAACCCGTTTTTTTTTATGGTGGCGCTTGTAATTGAATCACGGCCATAAGCGCCGGCGCTTATATCATGGCAAATACAGAAATACAACTTAAACGCACCAAATTGTACATGTCAATCTCGAAATTTCAATCGAATCAGAATTTTAGGAGTGTCCTGAAACAGAATCGCGCGTGGGCGCTTCTCTGACGCTGCATAGAGCTTTGGCACGTCAATTTGCTTGCGTGCCAGCTCATCCTGACTGGGCGCGCAACCAGTCAGGACCTCGAAAGTCAAACAAAGCGGAAATGGGTGCTGACTCGCTTGAAAATCAAAATTCGCTACCGTTTTAATCAGGCATGAAAAATAAAATTTTACGCGTGCTTATAATAAAACAGGGTTTTACAAGGGGGGCGCTTATAATCGAGTTCCGGCCATAAGCGCCATGCTCCAGATAGAAGCGCCGGCGCCTTTAATCGGACGGCGCCTATATCCGGGGCCATACGGTAAAAGTAGTCTGAAATTTCAGACAAATCAGTAAAAAATGTTGGGCTGAGAAAAGCCCTTAGGATCTTTGCAGGGGTAAACTTTGGTAGAACTATGTAATAGCGGAAGCGTTAATGAAGAACTTGTGAACCACCTTGCGCTAGTATGTGAGGGCAAAGTAAGTTAATTAAAACAAAGGGATACAAGATTATATAAGAGTACAAGAATACAAAGGATACGGTTATAACTACTTTACTGTTGCTGTTGCGGTTCGACACAGTGACGACTCGGACAACTGCTCTGTAATGAGTCAGTTGTGTGTCCTTGCTGTCGCGCTGTATTTGTCAGGTCAAAGGTCGCTTGACCTTTGACTTTCGCGTAACCTCCAGCAACCTCTCAACCTCCGAGGGTTGACTCGCTAGTGCTTCGATAGGTTTTGCTTCGCTTGTGCCTTAGTGTTTCGACACGACAGAGGCGCTTAAGATTCATTGTTTCCAACACTCCCCTTCGCTTTTGGAGTGTCGCTGCTGGCGGTGACGTGGCTCTGTCCAGTCAGCAGCATGCAGTACTCGAACTTCTGCTTTCCGAGCTTCTTGGTCAAGTAATCAGCTGCCATCTCGGATGTGGGGCAGTATGACAGCTCGAGTCTCCCCTTCTCGATCTCGTCTTTCACGAAGAAATATCGCAGGGCGATGTGTTTCGTCCTGTTCGCGAAGCCGTTCTTGTTGGCGATGCGAATTGCCGACTGGTTGTCGCAGAACAGGGTGAAGCTGGGTAACTGTCCTAGTTTCGCTTCTTCCAGCAGCTCGCGAAGGTAAAGTCCTTCCTTGGTGGCTGAGCACAGAGCGATATATTATGCTTCAGCTGATGAGAGGGCGATTAGTTCCTGCTTGCTCGACTGCCAGGAGATAGGACCGATAGGCTCGAAGCGGTAGATGTAGCCGGTGCGTGAGCGCCTGTTGTCAGAGTCACCGGCGTGATCGGCGTCGACGTAACCGATTAGCTTGGGCGTTGTAGTTGCGTTCTTGTGGTACAGGCCGATCGTCGGAGTGCTGATGAGGTAGAGAAGAGCGCGATCGAGCTCCGCAAGATTCTCTGCTTCGGGCTTCTTGAGGTAGGTGGCGAGCTGGCTTGCGGAGTATGAGAGGTCAGGTCGGCAGGTAACAGGTGCGAAAAGGAGGCATCCTAGCTTCCTCTGGTAGTCGCGTATGCCGGCGGGCTTGAGTAGAGCGGAGCCTTCCTTGTTATTTCCTGTCGTGTAACAATACGGCGTAGAAATTGCGGTCGGTGTAAGGGCGAAGCGCTTGGCGATGGTGTCGGCGTATTTCGCGGCGCTGAGGTAGATCGCGTCTTCTTCTTCTCGGATGTTGAGGCCGAGGTACTGTGTGACGGTAGATGAGACCGTGAGCGTGAGATCTTGCTGCAGCTCCCCTTCGAACCAGGTGGTGATGCTGTCGGTAGAGCCGATGTAGAGGAGATCGTCCACGTAGACGATTAGTAGGATGTAATCTGCGCCTTTCGTGAGTCGGTACATCCCCTGATCGTGCGGTAGTTGCTTGAAGCCGATGCGAATGAGGCGAGCGTGCAGGTACTGCTGCCATAGCCGTGGAGCTTGCTTGATGCTGTAGAGTGATTTGAGTAAATGGCAGACGTAGTTGGGGTCTCTGTCGGTTCCGTGTGGTAGTTCGACGAAGATTTCGGCGTCGACAGGTGCGTAGAGGAAGGCATTTGCGACATCGATTTGCCGCAGCTTCCTTTTCTTCATGGCGGCGATCGCGAGTAGAATTCGAAGTGAGGTGTGTCGGCTGACCGGTGCGAAGGTCTCGGTGAAGTCCCGTCCGTGTTCTTGGTCGAAGCCTCGCACGACCCATCGTGCTTTGAACTTCTCGATGGTGCCATCTGCTTTCGTCTTCACGCGGAAGACCCATTTTCCGGTGAGGATGGTCTTGTTCCGTGGTACGCCGATAGGGACAATTTTCCACGTGTTGCGTTCCTCCAACGCTTTCAGCTCCTTGTCCATGGCTTCGCGCCATTTTTCCCTGTGCTCCCCCCCCAGAGCCTGCTGAACCGTCGCAGGCTCCTTAGGAACGATGGCGCCGTGGACCGCGGTGACGAGCCCGAGTATCTGAAGTCCACTCTGTGTGTAGCGGGGGAGTGTGGTGTCCTCGGGATAGACTGCTTCGTCTCCAGCTTCTGGATCAGGTACGAAGTAGGGTCCTACGCGTTCTGCTTCGTTGGTGTTGACTTCAGCAGGTGTAACGTAACCGGTGTCGGCGAAGTGGTAGTAGACGTCGGCGTTGACACTTTCGCGAGGATTTTCTTCGTCCATCGGTACGTCGACTGAGCAGTAGGGGAGAGGTCCGGCTTCTTCCGAGGCTCTGTCCACATTCTTCTCGTCCCAGTCAGCTTCATCTTCTGCCGAAGCGAAGGCTCGGGTGCCAATAAATCCGCCCGAGGGATCAGGTCTGTTTGCTGCCACGTATGCAAGGTGAACGTCGAGGGTGAGGTTCTCGTAGAAGATGACATCACGTGCTACAACTGTTTCTTTGCTGTTGATGTCGAAGATTTTCCATGCGTTGTAGTGTTTTTCGATGCCCAGGTGTAGCCCCCACTGTGCTCGCTGGGAGAATCGACCGGCGCGTGCAGATGGGGGTCGGTACTGTACCATGCAGCCGAAAACTCTCAACATTTTTGTGCTGCCCAATTTTCCTGTCCACAGCAGGTGCGGTGATGCGTTGTTCGGGAGTGATGATGACAAAAGCAAGTTGTGTAGCATGACGGCGTGGTCCATTGCTTCGGGCCACTGGTGGTTGGGCAGGTGCATGCCACGTAGCAGCTTGCGCATGGTGGCTTGGAGTGTCCTGTTCATCCTTTCTGCTACACCTTGTTGTTGATGGGCGTAGGGAAGGGAGATGAGCCGCTTGATTCCCCTCTCTGCCAAGTAGTCCTTGAACCTCTGTGAGGTGTATTCTCCTCCCCCGTCTGACTGGAAGCTTTTCAGTTTTACGCCCGATTCTCTTTCTGCTGCAGGAAGCCAGGCGACGAAGGCTTCGAAGGCCATGTCGCGGCTTGGAAGGTTGAGATGCCAGACGTATCTGGTGACAGCGTTGATGAAGGTGATCGTATAGTTGTATGCGTTTTGTCCGGGCTCGCGGTTGTACAGGATGTCGCTGTACACCTTTTCGAGTGGCGCGTAGGCTGGTGCACTTGGATTGTGGTGTGACACAAACGGTTGGTGCGACAAGTCTGCTTCGGGACAGGTGAAGCATGTTCCTCGAGCTCGCTGAAGTTCTCTGCCGTCGGTCAGTAGAAGTGAGTCTTTGTCGAGCACTCCTGCTCTTATCGTGTTGTTTAACACCGTGTGGCTTGGATGTCCCATCCTTGCATGCCAGGTTCCTTCAGTGGCGCGATGTTCGGGTGGTGCTGTCTGCTTTGAGGTGAATACCTTTTGCCATCAGCTGACTTACACTCAATAAGTTGTAACCGAGGCCTTCTGCGATTAAGACCTTCGACATTTGTAGTATCACGTTTGTTTCTTGTGACTGAAGCTGTACTACGCCTTGTCGTCGTGTGCGCAGGTTCTGATTGTTGGCGACGGTGATGACTACCTCCCGTTGAAGCTGATATTCTTGCTGCACGAAGCGTCCTGAAGAACACATGTGCTGTCCGCAAGAGCTGTCCAGGAACCACGTATCTTTCCCGGATGGCTCGCTCTGGGCAATGGCTGCATATGTCGGATTCGGCTGAAGTGCTTCGCGGCGAGGTGTGGTTTCGTCGAGTTGTTCTTCCGGTGAGTAGTGCGGTGGTGACTCAATGATGCAGGAGTCGCTCAGTCTTGCCATGCAACTAACGATGTTTCTTGCTCCTTGTGCAGGTTGTCCTGTTGGAGTCGTTGAAGCTTGGATCTGGTTCGTAGGATTCGCTTGCGTTGAGGCGACTTGGCTGCTTGAAGGTCGAAGCTGCCGCTATGGAGTTGTTGACTGTTGACGATTCGGACGGTGCGTGTTCCTTGGTGACTTTACCTTCGCGAGCTGCTGGAAGAAGCGAAGCTGGCCGTATTACCCAGCTTCACCCTGTTCTGCGACAATCAATCAGCAATTCGCATCGCCAACAAGAACGGCTTCGCGAACAGGACGAAACATATCGCCCTGCGCTACTTCTTCGTGAAGGACGAGATCGAGAAGGGGAGACTCGAGCTGTCATACTGCCCCACGTCCGAGATGGCAGCTGACTATTTGACCAAGAAACTCGGAAAGCAGAAATTCGAGTACTGCATGCTGCTGACTGGACAGAGCCACGTCATCAGCAGCGACACTCCAGAAGCGAAGGGGAGTGTTGGAAACAGTGAAACTTAAGCGCTTCAGTCGTGTCGAAACATCGCACCAGAAGTGAAGCAAGCAATATCGACGCAAGCACGAGTCAACCCTCGGAGGTTGAGAGGTTGCTGGAGGTTACGCGAAAGTCAAAGGTCAAGCGACCTTTGACCTGACAAGTACAGCGCGACAGTTAAGGACACACAACTGACTCGTTACAGAGCAGTTGCCCGAGTCGTACTGTATCGAACCGCAACAGCAAAAGTAGTTATAACTGCATCCTTTCATATTCCTTGTATTATTATATAATCTTGTACTTCCTTGCTATAATCAATCTACTTTGCCCTCACATACCAGCGCAAGGTGGTTCTCAATCCTTTCATTAAGCTTCCGCTATTACAACATTATCCTACCTAGAGTTCTCCCCTGCAAAGATCCTAAGGGCTATCTCAGCCCAACAGTGTGTGTGCGTAAGTGGAAGTTTTAAAATCACTAGTTTTTCCAAAGACATTCTGTACTGCAGTAGAGTAGGCTATATGATGGTGGACCATAATGATCTCACTTTCTAACAGTTTTCCCATTTCACTTTTCGGAGTACCCTACGATGTTAGTGTATACATGGAAGGTTATGCTTGCCCAGTTCTCTTTATTTCATGTACTTCACATACGATATCAGTACTGCTTTATTGTAGTAATGTAGATTAGTGTGTAATATATTGACTGTCCGAGTACCAACTGGTCTTGTGACTGCAGTCACTGCAGTGGAAAGTTTGATCGTTGGATGACGTTTCCTAAACGACAGAATTTCGTGCCGACCATCAGCATGGCCACAATATCATCCATCAGCATTCTGGCCTCTCGATCTTGAGCGTACTGGAAACCTGAAAATAAAGAGTCATGTCCCTCCAGTCCCTAAACGGCTCAGTATGAGATATGGAAATAGCGACCGATAGAAGTCTACTTCGCTCCCTGAAACTAATTAGACCAGAATGTTTTGGAAATTCTGTACGTACGCCCTGACATTTGGAGCCTTCCATGCCATTCCTCCTCTTTCACTCGTCGGGTGTCTGTGGGCCTTGGATGATCCTGCTTCGACCTCCATCAACAGTCAACTCCCGTTGGGTGTACATGAAACAGTCCCCTCCCCGCAGGTGGCTGTCTGTCTGCCCCCTCCCCCTTCCCCCGTTCCACTCCACCCCCCCACCCCCAGGTGGCGGTCTGCACTGTACTGTACTGTACTTTCTCTCGACGGCGCTTCATCCCCCCCCGCAGGTACGGTCGGTCGGACCAGCGAGTCTCGCGTTCATCCATCCATTTTTCACCCATCCATCCAACCACGGATGGCATGCCGTAGATCGCCCCCCCCCCCCCACACACACACCTCACACCAATTCCTTCGCTGCAAATTCGCAAGCGTACGCACGATCACTACTACCATTCGTCACTCGAACTACTATTTCATACACTCCACCTCCAGAATCCACCGTTTTGAACGGTTAAATATGGTCCATTTGGTAGTCGTGCTATTGCAGAAGGTCTCAGAGCGGTAACAATCCGAACCAAACCGATTTTCCCAGGTACCCCACGCAAATGTTGAACCAAGTTCGAACGGACATCCTCCCACTTCCACAAAGCACACTTTCACTCACACCCCTTTTCCCCCCATGAGCAGCCACTTACTACTACCCATGCAGCACGTTTCCCCCTTTTCCTCTTTTCAGCCGATAATTTCCGAGTGGATTCGTTTTCCCATATTATGAACTATAATATGTACTAGACGCGGAATTAATTAGTAGAATTGAGAGGAAGCGCGATTATCGCGCTATCATCGCCGCGTGATGATGAAGCACGCAACAGCTCTTCCGCTCGGCGCGCTGCTGCTGCTGGCGTGTTACTCGGTCTCGCGGGTCGAATGCGTACCTCTCGTAAAGTCACAGGGTGCGTGCCGACCCGCGATGCCCCTGCACACTGATCATCATGATCCGACAATATTTGAGTCAATGTATCATTGAGGAGCATCGCGCCGCGCGTGCTGAAAAAACCTTGAAAAGTAGAAACTGCTTCCCGTGGCGTCCGCAAACGCGTCTTTCTTTTTTCCCATTTACTGCGCGACCCGCGGCGGCGTCAGCACTTCACATGCCGTCGGTTCCGTGGTTCGGCGAACCAACTAACAAAAACGAACCGCAAATTTACGCCGCGTTAGAAAATGCTACGTCGAAAATGCTAATGTTCTACGTCGCAAATGGTACGTCGCTAGTGCAAATCCTCGAGCTGCGTCATTGTGGGGTGCATTGTTGACATGCCAACATGAATCAGTTATGGGGTGCATCACCGTGTATTTATTACCGTGAATCAGTTATTAGAAACCCTAATCGACGCAAAATCTTCATACGTCCCACTGTAATAGAGGCAGTACACAACTCATTCCCCCCTGGTGCGAAAACGTCCTCATGCCAAATGTCCTCGTTGGCTCGGAAATTCAGGGAGTGGGCCGCCAGAACCTAGATATCTCCGAGAAAGGTGATAGCAACTTCGCTGGCAGGTCAAGCCAGGGGAGGACCGTTTTCTGGGTTCGAGTCTGGCACCACATCTCGTTCTCGCTACATGCGGAAAATGTGGACCAGCCGAGACTCGAACCCAGGGCTCTGGGTCAAAACGAGGGTGTTATTTAGGGCGTGTGCACTAGGGCAAAATTTGTCGAAAGTTCGAACCCTTACCGCTTTAAACCGTGACAACCCGACTCCTAAAAGACTCCTACCGTGTACAACCTCTCTTAAAGTTCGAACTTCTGCCGAAGTTCGAACCGCTAGTACACACGCCCTTAGGCGCAGCGAATGCTCTTCAACCCTATTCCGCAGGCGTTACAATCTCTGTTCACTGACCCCTGTGCCCTCCTCGCTTTTCTCGCGCCCTTCCTGTACACTGAGTGGAAGTGGAAGAGCAAGCGATGAGGTGGGAGAATGCGATGAGGTGGGGGAGAGGGAATGTGATGAGAGAGGTGGAAGGCATATGATGAGAGGAGGGCGTGTGATGGAAGAAGGGGGACTGATGAGATGTGGGGGGCATGCAATGAGAGAAGTGTCTGGGCCACCATTTGAGTCGCTGCCCCTATCTCCTCTCTTCCACTCCCCTCCTCCCCTCCTCCTGCCGCCAGCGCAAGTCCTGCTGGACTGTCAGAAGGCGTGGAGCAAAACTTTTGACGGCTGGGTGGTTGGTGGGGACTGCAGCAAAGCCAGCAGCGTCACGTGCGACTCCCAGGGCATGATCACAGAGATGTGAGTGACTGGACTCTCATCGACTGTCTCTCAGGGACCCTCATGAACCCTCTATAGAGCCCTGACGCTTCTGATTTAAGCGGATTGCGATGCTTCAGATGTGAGGGGACCCTCCCATCGTTCAGATGTGAGCGGACGGACATTGGTGAGCAGACATGAGTGGGCGGACATGAGTGGGCGGGCATGAGTGGGCGGGCATGAGTGGGCGGACATGAGGGCGGGAATGAGTGGGCGGGCATGAGTGAGCGGACATGAGTGGGCGGACATGAGTGGGCGGGCATGAGTGGGCGGACATGAGTGAGTGAGATGAGACGTAAAAAGCCATGGGAGTGGATCCTCATGGACCCTAAAACTCGAAGCCAAGTTTTAGGTGACTACAAACAATTTGAGTCGACAATTGAGTCGACTAAAGAAAGCCTCTCCTCCATTCCAATGCCCACCCTTCAACAGATATATCGTTGACGAGAGCTTAAACGGGACAATCCCTGACTCTATCAGCAACCTTCAAAGCCTTTCTCACCTGTGAGTGCTGCTCCTTCTTGGTTGGGTGGGCATGAGAAGCACTCACTCTCTGAGTAAGTGCTGTTCTTTTCTGACTTGGAACGTGGGGTGCATCTGCTCTGGTTCTGAGCCTTGAGGCGTCACAGAAAAAGGACATGGTACTATTCCGGGATTGTGACGTTGATAGCCATGTTGTTTCGTTTCTCGCGCTGTTGCTGACGAGCTCGTTCCTCAGCCTGCAGCATCTCCTCCCTGACGAGTCACAAATTCTCCTTCCTTTCTCGAATGCAGATATCTATGGAACACCAGCCTGACTGGCCTGATACCAGCTACTATTGGCAACCTCCGTAATCTGAACAAAGTGTGAGCTTCATGACCAGACAGACAGGCTGGCTGGACGGTGCTTGCACTATATACCAGCCTCGCTTTCTTGCTAGCCTAACGCTTTCTCTGCTAGCCTAACGCTTTTTCTGCTAGCCTAACGCTTTCTCTGCTAGCCTAACGCTTGAATCTACTAATGATCAACGATAAAGCGGTTTGTTTGTTTGTTTGTTTTTTTTTCTGGGTAAAGGAGCTGAGCAGAGCACGTCTAGAGCCAGTAGAAGCTTGTCCCTTGCATGGCCCGAACCAACCTGAACCGACCTGGACCGACCTGACCCGGCCTGACCCGACCTGACCCACCAGCCTGACCCGACCTGACCTGACCCGACCTGACCCGACCTGACCCGACCTGACCCGACCTGACCCGACCTGACCCGACCTGACCCGACCTGACCTGACCTGACTCGACCTGACCTGACCTGACCCGACCTGACCTGACCTGACCTGACCTGACCTGACCTGACCTGAGCCGGCCTGAGCCGGCCTGAGCCGACATGAGCTGACCTGACCTGAGCCGAGCTGAGAGATGTGCTCAAGTATTGGCTCAAGGACTCAGGCAAAGTGGGTCGCCACGCGATGAAATTGAACTTCCGTGACGGCTCACAACTTAACTTTTATCACGGGTATTGGCCCAGGGACTCAGGCAAGCAAAGAAGACGAGCCCGGGGGAATGGAGGGAAGGAAAGGACCGGAGGCGTAGGAGGTGTTGAGACAAGCCTTGTCACCTTGTTAGATGCCGCATGGCTTGTCACTTGCTGCATGGCTTGTCACTTGCTGCATGGCTTGTCACTTGCTGCATGGCTTGTCACTTGCTGCATGGCTTGTCACTTGCTGCATGGCTTGTTGTCACATGCTGCATGGCTTGTCACTTGCTGCGTGGCTTGTCACTTGGCGCATCGCTTGTCACTTGCTGCATGGCTTGTCACTTGCTGCATGGCTTGTCACTTCCCGCATGGCCCCTTGCCACATGGATTGTCCCTTGCCGCATGCGCATGGCTTGCCACTTGCTGCATGGATGGATTGTCGCTTGGCGCATGCATGGCTTGCGAGCTAGGCACGGATTGTTTTTCTTTCTTTTAACCAACATGCTGATTCCAGTCTCACGGCTCGCTGGCTTCTCTAGGTTATCAACACCTTCATGTATGCACCCACTCATGCCGGCTTGCTGATCTTGTGCTGATGTCCCATGATAAATGTGAGGGTCAGGTCAGGTCAGGTCGGGTCGACCCATGCCCAACTCGGTTCATTTTATCTGCATGCATGCCCTCTGTGTTCATTTGCTTTCTTATCAGGCAACTCGCTTACAACAGCTTAAGTGGCAACATCCCTGCATCCCTCGGCAATCTGAAGAGAGTTGACAGATTGTTAGTGCTGTTCCTCGCTCGATGAACACGTAACGACGAATTCGTTCTGAAACGTCTCAGAACAGATTTGTTGTTCAGTAACCTTGGAACTTACGTTAGTGCTGTTGTTCCTCGTTCGATATATATGTGTGTGTCGTGTCGTTTCGTTGCCATGTGAGTGTGAGAAGCATGCTTGTAAAAACCCAGCAGCAGTGGCTCTGGTCTTTTTTATGGGCTTGGCATCAATGTACTATAGATGATGCAAGTATAAGCTCTTTCGGACTTTTGAGTCGACTCAAAAGTCTAAACATGCGGTTCTTTAAGACTCCTATTTTTGTGCTCTAGTTGGTGCAAGAAGTACTTGTTTGTTCGAACTTTGCTCATGTCTTCCATCCTCATTGTTCTATCTGAATGTTCACTACTAGACTATGCCCTTAGCCGACATACACTAAGTGTTATGCACAGTTAAGCATGGTCTATGGCATTAGTGCCTCAGCCCAGCATTGAGCACCAAGCTATCGTCTGGTAGTCTGTGCATGTGTGGCACCAACTGAGTGCCTCCTAGCTTAGCTGACCACCTGTTACTGTTGCTAAAGTACAGATAGTGGAGGATGTATGCTCGTACTCACAAACCCCTGTCTGCCCATTACTCCCTTCGTTTTTACACCCCATTTCCGAGATGCATACAATTGCTTTCTAACCAGCTGAATGGATCCATACCAGCAACGTTCTCCAACCTTGTATCTTTGACCTACTTGTGAGTTTTTCGATTATATGAGCCATTATTTTGAAGTTTTGCCACAATTTTAAGCTCACTCTATTGTATGTTTATCATATGTTTTTTTATGTCATCTCCCTCACACATCATACTAGAATCTGATGTTTCTATGCTGTGCTGCTGTTGTGTGGGTTGGATCGAAGCAAGCCAAGTTACTGTAGCATGTGATGTGATGTGATGTGATGTGATGTGATGTGATGTGATGTGATGTGATGTGATGTGATGTGATGTGATGTGATGTGGTGTGATGGGATGGGTTCACACTTCTGATCATCTGCTTCTGAGTGAAGAGGCAATGAGGCTCACAAAGCTTCGAGCGATATTGGGCGATGATGAACGACCAGAGCCATCCATGGGCGACCATGGGCGACCAGAGCCATCCATGGGCGACCATGGGCGACCATGGGCGACCATGAGCAGCCATGAGCAGCCATGGAAAACAACTCACTGTTCCTCTTTTCAACTCTTTGTGCATACTGTTGCCTTATGTATGCGGAGATTCAGTCTACAACAGTACTGAGCTAGACTACGGGGCTTGGTACGAACTACTAAGAGTGATCGTAGCTTTGCTCCTTAGTGCTTGCATATTCAGGGGAGAAATCGACAAGAATTTCCGCTACCAAAGTTGGAATTACAGAATGATCAAACAAGCAATGACAACAATGACTACATTAGGCAACTAGCAACCCTGCAGCTAGCCTGGTCGACCGCCAGCACTGCATGGTCGACCGCCTGCCAGCGTTGCATAGAGGAGCCGCGCCAGCACTGCAAAAAGGCGACCTGCCAACAGAGCAGGTCGACGGCGTGCCAACGCTGCAGCAGTGCGGCTGTCCAGCGTTGCACCCGTAGATGGCAGCAGTGCGCACGCTCGCAGGTGCGTGCAGACGATTGGCCCGACTTGCACCGTTGTGCATCCGTCGGCTGTTGTCTGCGCCTGACGTGCTACATCGACTTCAAGATACGGATACTAGCCCGAAGTCGCCTTCGTCACTACGACCTCGACGATGTTCGCGTGCCTCTGCAGAACTCTCCGAGCAGGTTACCTGGTCGACCTGGTCGACCACCAAGTGCTCTGGTCGACCACCAGTGCCTCCGGTCGACCACTGGGTACCTCTGGTCGACCACCAGGTGCCCCTGGTCGACCACAGCTCCCGTCGAGCTACCCCCTGGTCGACAGGCCTCTCCGTCGACCAGAACTGTTAGTTGTTGTCGCCGAGCGCCCCTCATAGACTGCTGCTCACTTGTTAGGTCAACGAACTGCTCCGTCGACCTCCCGGTCGAACTGCCCCTCCTGGTCGACGGCCCACCTGTTGCCCAGCCCAGTCAGCTGCAGGTGTCGAGCTCCCTGGTCGACGGCTCCAGCCCCGTGACAGTCCTGTGCAGGTTGACAGCAGCCTCGTCGACCTGCCCCGCAAAAGAAGGCCGTGGAGCACTTCTGGTCAACGGCAACACTACAGTGAACCCCTGCTGCTCGACGAAGCCCGTCGAGCAGCTCCTTCACTGCGAACGGTCGGCTGCTTCTCCCGTACATCCGACCAAGTCGTCGGCGTTGCCGAATCGAGGGCGGGGCCAACACTCCACTCCCGTTAACAATGCATGCCTTATGCATACCTCACGAACGCCTTTTGTCTCTCGGTCCATCAGGAACCTTGGCTACAACAGCTTGACAGGCTCCATTCCTGACGTTCTTGGCAACCTCCCAAGTCTTGCTCACATGTGAGTGCTGCTACGTGTCGTGAATTGAAACATGGAATGCACCACATGCCGTGTGACCCACCCACATCACATGCGCACCACATGCTGTATGTTGTGTCCCACTTACTTCACATGCGCACCACATGCCATGTATTTTGTCCCACCCACATCACATGCTCACCACGTGCTTATTCACCATTGCTGTAGGCCTCTCCTGCTTTTCATTCTCTCTGGCTTGCCATTCTTGTTAAGTGCTTGGCCAGGAGCTGCCACCCTCTGATTGAAAAGCAGATGCCGATGGCCTCTTCCCCCGCTTGCTCTATGCCCCACCAAAGTCACAGCTTTGGTTTCGACTCTGCTTCTTCCATCCACACTACCATCAAAAGCAGATACCTACATACGAACAATCTGAACGGCACAATACCATCCTCACTGGCCAACCTTTCAGACCTCGGAGATCTGTGAGTCGATTGACCTATTGTGAGATGCTTGACTTGTTGTGAGATGCTTGACTTGTTGTGAGATGCTTGACTACTTGTGAGATGCTTGACTTGTTGTGAGATGCTTGACTTGTTGTGAGATGCTTGACTTGTTGAGAGATGCTTGACTTGTTGAGAGATGCTCGACTTGTTCAGAGATGCTTGACTTGTTGTGAGATGCTTGACTTGTTGTGAGATGCTTGAACTGTTGTGAGATGCTTGACTTGTTGCGAGATGCTTGCCTTGTTGTGAGATGCTTGTCTTGTTGTGAGATGCTTGACTTGTTGTGAGATGCTTGACTTGTTGTGAGATGCTTGACTTGTTGTGAGATGCTTGACTTGTTGTGAGATGCTTGACTTGTTGTGATGTGATTGTCCAACATATTTTCGTACCTTACACACACACAGCTATGCACACCACTGCCTACATATGCATGCAGTATGGTCTTTGAGCTTGTCATATTCATGCTTTCCTTTTTTACTCCTGCAGACTCCTGCGGTACAACAAATTGACCGGCACAATTCCTGAATCGCTTTACACTCTCACAAACCTAAACACGTTGTGAGTGCAGTGCAGTTTTTACCGGTTTCCCAGCCAGGTCAGCCTTAGCCAAACCGCACCGCACACAGAACCGCACTGCACTCGTGCATTTCAGCAACCACAGACTTTGCTTTCGCATGGACCTCTCGGCACGCCTTGATTGTTCCAGTGGCAAGGGCTTTGTGCTCTTTGGATGTATGCTAGTTCAGAGCTGGGTGTGGAAGGAACGAGTGTGAGTTCGTTTTGATTCATTCATTTTAGGTAAAGTGGGCACTAGTATAGTGTTGACGATCAAGCTGTTTTTGCTCGAGCATGGTAACGGAACGGAATGTGCGCTATGCTGTACCTGTTTCCTCCTTGCGCTGCATTTTTACGTGTGCATGCCGCCTATGTATCATACATCATTCATTTGGCACTAACGTTCCATTTCCATGTAAAACCTCGCAACTCTAACCAGGCATAGACTCCCCTTTTTACACATTTTTTCCACGACAAATGCAGCAATCTTCTAGACAACTACCTCACTGGCTCGGTCTCTACGAAAATAGGCAACCTCGAAGCATTGATGGCCGTGTGAGTGAGCTTCTCAATAAGACGGGCCAGATGAGTCTTGTATACGTCCTTTTGAGACGTCTCAAAAGACAAGCCAGATCACTCTTGTATACGTCCCACCCATTGGTTCCACGCTCCACCCACCCAATTACAAAATCTATACAAAATCAACTACTGGTGATCACGTGAAACTTGCACACTTGTTTGTTTCTTTTTTTTTTCCGTTAGCTCATGTTCAGCGTAGGTCATTCGGTCGTTCGGTCATGGAAAATGCACCAGTGGTCAGAGGCGAAGGGGGGTAGGTAGGGGAGATAGGGGGGCGTGACTGAGAGATGGATACGGGAGGCGTGTGATTGCCAGTGGTCGTCCTGCCAGAGACAAGTAAATGTGGCACGATGCTGCTAAGGTGGTAAGAGATGCTGTGCTGCTCTTGAAAGGTGATTTTTTAGGCGCATCAAAAACCGCCTCAATATGACGGCGATGACAAGGAAAAGTGGGAACATGTTGAACTAGCTAAGCTAAAGATGTAGGAGCCAAATCTCAGCAATTCTGACGAGGGAAGTGCGGCTCCTTGTTGTATTGTGTAACCTAGTGCGACCGATATCTTTTTCGTGTGCATGTGCCTTCTGTCATGCTCCCATCATCATCATCATCTCTGCAATGTCAGGAACCTTGGCTACAACTACTTGACAGGCCCTATTCCTGACTCCATTGGCAGGCTCACGAATCTGAACGCCTTGTGAGTGCGTCCCTTTTTGGTTTGGCATGTGAGGCAGGACCATTTGCACGCATGGCAAAGTACCTCGCAACTCGTGAGTCACGTTATGCTACTCGCGACCAATCTCACCGATCCATGAAATGCCATTTACGCCACGTTTTGCTACTCGCCCTGGGCACATAAAAAAAAAAAAAAAAAAAAAAGGCGAGTGGCTACTCGCCTCGTTGACATACCCTTTATAATACCGACCGTTGATGTATGCAGACCTGGGAGCAAAGTTTACAACAAACTACTTCATAAGAGATATCTATATGTACATTTTATGTTTTAGATAGATGCTAAGCATTACTCCTTGACATCCCCGGGGTACAAATTGCAGATATCTATGGGGAAACAAAATGACAGGATCGATACCCACAGTGATAGGCAACCTTCTTTATTTGAATGACTTGTAAGTTCTGTCACTAAATGAACAGCGAGGCAACCTATTATCTGTAATGGCACAGTGTCATCGACACACATGCCTTCGTTCAATTGATGTCTTTTGAACTCCCATAATTCAAAGTATAGTGATAGCCTTTTCCTTTACTCATTATTGTGTAGTTTGATTCAACACATTTATTGTCTAGTTTCTAGTACAACCTGGTTACAAGCCCTGTTTATCTTTCTGGGAGTTTCTTCCCTGCTTCTGTCGTGCGTGCACCAGGGCCCTTTCTTGGAACAACCTGACTGGCAGCATCCCAGAGTCAATTGGCAACCTCCTGCAGCTCACAACATTGTAAGCACGCCCATTCTCTCTTGAGCTGAAACCACACGCCTTGTTTCTCGAGCAGTACGAGCAGTACCCGACCGACCCAACCCGACCCGACCCGACCGGACCTGGCCCGACTCGACCCGGCCCGGCCGACCCTACCCGGCCGGCCCTTACCCACGGGTCATCCCCAGTCGGGGAGGTTGGGTCGGCCTGTTCCTCGAACGTCGGCCTTGGACTTCAATAAGGTTGTGACTTTTGAGTCGACTCAAAAGTCGCCTCTCAAAAGTCAGCCCTGTGCATGCTTGGGCCTCAATCCGAATGGAAATGAGGAACGAATTCACTACTTTTTTCCACATGGCTTCAGATTTAATTGATAGAAGGGTTTTTTAGTTGCCTATTATGTCCATTATGTCCATTTGCTTTCAAGAACATACAAGACATAAGGATTGACCACTTTTATTGAGGACAACAAAGTTCCACATACGAGTTTCTGTATTTTATTACAAACGTACCCAACCATGCGTGTGCAACAACTGCTTTGTATATGCAATAAAAAACGCTCCAAATCCAGGGAAATTAAAGGAACCAATCTGTCAGGACATCTCCCTCCGACTCTGGGCAAGCTATCCAAACTTGATCCATTGTAAGATGCTGTCTTTTTTTTTTTTTTTTTTTTCAGTAATACAGAATTAGACTATTTCTCTGTTCTTGTTTGCCTAAAGTGCTGCATGCCAAGCATACAGAGCCCACCTGCTCGATCTTCTAAAAAAACCCATGCGTACGGACCTTTGATCCACCCTTTTCGTTAGCACCTCGATATTCTCTGCTCTTTTTACACAGCACCAACCTTTTCGCTAGCACCTTGATGTTCTCTGCTTATTTTTTTCTTCTGATTCTTCCTTCTGTCCATCCAGGAATGTGTCTTTAACTGCACTCACATGCCCCCCTAACAAGAGTCCGTGTGTGGTTCAGCAATTTTCTCAAAGTTCCTTTTGCCGCCAGTGCCCCTCGTTCTGCTCCACCTGCAACAAGACAGCACCACGTGAGCTTAAGAAAAATAAGAATACACGGAAAAAAAAAGGGATCGAGGATCCTCTTCCCCCTGTCATATTTTCTAAGCATCAGATTTTTGTGTAATACCCTGCCCTGGCCACATCCCTCCCTATGCAACAACCCATGATGCCAGTACACAATACACATCTCTGTCTTCATGCTGGCTACTTGGCCTACTTGGCCCACAAGGCCTACTATCGGTGCCACATCTCTGCCATGCTTTCCATTCCATCCAATTGCATTCTCACTCTTTTTCAACGTGTGACGTTCCTTTCAGAACCATCCTGTCTCCGGCTTACCATTCCCTTCCGTCTCATCCCCATCCATCCCCTCACACACTACAGGCCCACCCTCCCCATCTCCAGCTGCCCCCTCCTTGACTTCATCTCCCCCCACACCAACCCTGTCCTCCTCTTCAAGCCCTCCCCTCTCACCCGAAGCGCCTCCCTCCCAGCCTGGAGGCGGTCTCTCTGTGGGAGCCATTGCCGGCATTGCTGTGGCTGCTGTGATGCTGCTGGTGATTGGCATCAGCGTGCTGCTGTGGCAGCGGAGAGGTCACAACAGACGGGCAGCACGTGCAGCAAGTATAATGTCCTTTCCATGCAGAGTTCATTTACACCCTTAAGCTAAATACCTTGGCTTGAGTTAGTATATCATCCTAATTCAATAGGCGAGAGTTGAAAGCCAAGCATAACTGCATGATTCTATATTATCCTGCATAGAGACAACTCCAATGTGTCCCCTCCTCCTGCCCCTTGGCTTTTGAGACGTCTGAGAAGTTCATCCTCCTCCATCCATTGTTCCTCCTCCTTGTGGCCTTTCCTCTCTTGAGCATTCTTTAGGCAAACGAGGCGGAAAGAATGGACACACACATATCTCTCCTTCCTTCTACCTTCTGCTTAGAAACTAGAGCATTTGCATCATAGGGCACCCTGGAACGGTTGACATAGTCACATTAACACCTGTCCTCGGCTCCCTTCATCTCATCTCACCCCACACTATCTCCCCTCACACCCCCTATTATTACCCCTTAGTCTCACCCCTAGCACCCTTTTTCACTATCAACCCTCGCACTCATCCATTGCAACTCATGCTTCCACCCCTCAGCCCTTCTATTCTTCACAGGTCGCTTTGGCAGCATGCCAGGCGCGCACTGCAAGGAGTACTCCCCTGGAGGAAGTTCTCACAGCCACCAGCAACTGGCTCGCCGACAACCAGCTTGGCCGGGTGCCCCGTAACCCACTTAACCATTCCTCACCTCTTCTCCCCTCGCCCCTTTCATCCTGAACTCTTACAGGTCGCTCCCGCAGCATGCCAGGCTCTAGCTGCACGAAGTACTCCCTGGAGGAAGTGCTCATAGCCACCGGCATGTCGGGCACCCACCCTTTTCACCCCACACTACAACCCGTCGTCACCCCTCATTTCACCACACGGTCACAGGTCGCTCCGGCAGCATGCCAGGCTCTAGCTGCACGGAGTACTCCCTAGAGGAAGTTCTCACAGCCACCAACAACTGGTCCTCGGACAACCAGCTTGGCTCGGGTGCCTTTGGTGACGTGTACAAGGGCGTGTGCCCAGATGATGGCGTCACCCTGTGGGCCGTCAAGCGAGCCAAACTGATTGACGTGGATTTTTACAAAGAGGTGGGATTTATTCATCTCTGGTCACTTATGAGAAAGTTCAAAGTGGGTGTGACCTGATGTGGATTTTCAGAAAGAAGTGGGGTGCTGTGATGGAGTGATTATGTTTTGGATGGGCCTTTTCCTTTCCATTTCGTCTGCAAAGCTGCTCTAAGGTATGACCAATGGGTCGACCCGACCTGGATCGACCTGACCTGATTTGACCAAGTCGGACGGGTTCCTGGTTGGGCAGAGTCGGGGCCCCTCAGGCACATTTTTCCAGAATCCCGACCTGAACTGCCTTGTAGAGGTGGGTCGGATAGGGCCCGAGCCCGAGTCAGGTCGAACACGACGCACGTTGGGTATCTGTACCGGCCTTTGCCCACCAATAGGCACAGATCGGCAATTTCACCACAGATCGCGCACAGCCAGGGGCTCCTGTTAGTGTAAGCCCTCAATCTCACATTTTGTATTTTGCACTTTCTATATCCTAGCATAGTGTAGTTTGCATCTTGTGTTTGGTTGGGTGTACACCTACATCCCAACCAAACTGAAATGTAATCTCTAAGCAATCTCCAACCCACCAATTGGAGATTGTCTTGGGATTACCCCCAATCTCTAGGGATTGCCCCCGAGTCCCCTCCCCATCCATTGCTTGCCCATCTTAATTGTACTTAAAGAGCTTCAAGCTCATTACTAATGTATTGATTCTGAGCTTAAGTTGTGACAGCTCCCACCTCCCCAGCAAAATTGTTGAACTGAAAATTCCCAACTAACTTGCCGCCGCTTACCACTCATCACCGCACTGATCTTCAGAACCCAAACCCCATACTCACTTTTACAGATCTCGAGATTAAGCACATTGCAACCCTACCTACCACTATCCTTTAGCCCATAGATCATACCCCCACCCAAACCTCGAATTTGCCGCGCAATCTGCTAATTTAGCCCCTAACGACCTGATTTCTTCATTCTTGAGCTGATTGTGGATCGACCCGACATGGGTACCTAGGTTGGCCCGACCGGGCATAAAAAATGATAAAATGGTTTTGCACGTCGACCTCACAAGGCCGCGTATATCCAGCGTGACACTGCCGGGTTTGCGTTTGGGAAAGGTCGGCCCGACCGGGGCCGGGTCGACCCAATCCGGCCAAGCACTTTGCTCATCCCTCCTGCTAATTATCGAGAAACTGTTACATGTTGGCTCTCGATGCATTTTGCCATGGCATGCCTCTTGCATTGTTCTGTGTTATGTGAAAACCATTCCGTTAACACTTGTTCCTCATGTCATTTATCCTGCAAAGATGTGTACCCGTCCATCCTTGCAATTTTCCTCGCAGGTGCAACAAATGGCCGACAAGAACCATCCCAACATTGTGCGGTTGCTTGGGTTTGCTGTTGGAGGCGACATGAGAACACGTCCAGAGCAGATTTTGATCTACGAGTTTGTTCCCAACGGCGACCTCGACCAGTTTGTTAAAAAGGGTACGTTGCACACATACATGTGTCACCCACTATGATTTGGCACTGGCGTTGTATGGCTCATGTTCCGTCACTCTCATCTCATGTTATCTGCATCTGTGCAGAGGCGTCCTTCACTCTCACCTTCCAGCAGCGGCTGGACATCCTCATTGGTGCGGCACGTGGCTTTGAGTACCTCCACAGCTTTGGCCTTGTGCATCGCGACATCAAACCCGCCAACATCCTTCTCGGAGCAAGCATGCAGGCAAGCAAGCACTTCGAGTCGACAACGTGTTTTGAGTCGACCCTAGACAACAATTGGCGAACTACAAACTTGTTTCCTTTGGACGTCCGAACATGTATATTAGTCTAACCATGTTTGTGTTCACCCGGACGGAGCACAAACATGTTCGGGGCGAGCATGTTTCTGCTTGAAAATACAACAGCATTCGTTGTAGTCAGCACATCACCACTTTCTCAAGTCTCTCTGTTGATCATTGTAGCGACTCCACTGTACCTTGTTATGGGCTCGTGAAATGAACAGTGTCATCACTAAATTCTGAACAATACATACAACTCAGCATAGTGTACAGGTCGATTAAATGTAATAAAAAAAATACAAGGCATTGTCTCATTAATTCTCTACCATGATTGTTCCTGTTTCAACTTTTACACCGTCCGTCAGGCCAAGATCGGTGACTTTGGGCTGTTGAGGGTGGGCGAGGGCAGCACTGTGGGGACGACGCGGGTGATGGGGACACCGGGCTATGTGGATCCCATCTACTCACGCACGTCCAAGGCCACCACTGCCACCGATGTGTACAGGTGAGCTGTCTAATAGACATCTCACAATGCAACCACTGCGACCGATGTGTACAGGTGAGTGCCTGTCATCTGGAGATATAGGACTATGAGCAGTGAAACATAGCTCTCTTTGAGAGGCAGCAGCTGTTATGTGCCTAACAAATATCAATAGGTCAAGGCGTGAATGTCTTACAGTGGTGAATCAAAGCTCTATTTGAGAGGCAGCAGGTATTATTTGCACGTGCTCATGTGTTATGTCGTCATATATGACTGGTGAAGCACTCACAATGTGGTTAATCCTTGTGCGCTGCTTGCCACCTTCTTCCCTTCTATGTGTGTGCAGTTTTGGTGTGCTCATGCTTGTGGTGATCACCGGTCGCAGCCCCCGTTATTCCGAGGGTGAAAAGAACGGCCACATTCTGCGATGGGTAGGTGCTGCTGCTTTGTGTGCGGCGCGGTGGGGTATGTTGTGTTTCTTATACGTCGGGATGTCACTGTGGCATGAACAGCCACGATCTCCGCACTGCTGCTTCATGTGTGACACACATATCGACTTTTGAGTTGGCTTTGTCGTTAGCTTGCACAACCGCAACCTGCAATAGGTAGGTGTTCCTGCTTGCTGGCGAGCATGCAACAGCAGGGCTGTTGTGTAAAATCTCAAATAGTACCTGCAAAGCACAGCACTTGCTGTTTTCGGGCAAGCAAGTTGGTGGTGCAAGAACATGATAGCACGATGAAGATGATAGCAAGATGGCATGATGGCAGGATGACTATGGCATGATGGCAGGATGGCATGATTCTGCCCTGAGCCTTGTTGCTTCTGCCTGGACCCGAGCAGGGACGGCCCTGATGATGCTGTGGTGCGTCATTCTTTGTCTCTGCCCCCATCCCCACCCCATTGTTCAACCCGTTAGGTGGAGGATTGTGTTTCGTCCAACAACCCTGCCCTCCTCAAGGACTAGGACATGGACGCCCCAGATGATGCTGTGCTGCGCCTTTCCCTTACCCTGTTTCCATCCCTCCTCACACTGTTCCTTCAATTCAACCTGTCAGGTGGAGGATTACGTTGCCTCCAACAACCCCACACTCCTCAAGGACCAGGACATGGACGCCCCAGATGATGCTGTGCTGCGCCTGGCCCAGCTGGCTCTGCGCTGCACTGTGCAGCGCACTGCAAGCCGGCCCAGCATGGCCACCATTGCCAACGAGCTGCAGGGAATCAGGCACGAGGTGGTGGGGAAGGAGGTGCTTAGTGCGGCGGTAAAGGTGGATGAGCAAGCAGAGGGGATGCGAAGTGGGACGTCGTATCCCAATAACTTGGCTGCAATGTTGGAAGCTATTAAAAGCATGGAGGAGGGGGAGTCTACTGGGGAGCACTCAGGTATCATCTGAAGCATCACCTGAAGCAGCATTGACATGTAGACCTGTATTCGGCTTTGTAACGTCGAAGTGTTATCTGACTTATCAAGGTGCAAGTAATGCATTTTCTATTACCGTATATATGTGTGCCTATTTTATATGTTAGGGTAGTGTAAGGAAAATTTCTTTTCCTTACTCCGCATCCCTTCTCAACGCGTACACCACTGTTCCCGCCACTAGCACTCAACAGTTAACCGTTACCATTCGCGACACTCGCCTCGACATTGTTCCCGCCACTGTTCACGCCGCGACCCAACCTCACGGCTCGGTTGGTAACCCGCGCTCCGGACCTCCGCCTCGGCATTTCCCACCCTCGGCGCTA